TTTTCCTCCAATCCCCCATGCACTCTGTACGGAAATGACAACGTGCTGTGGGCGGCCCCACACAAGGAATTAATCACGAACGAAAAGCACAATCCAAAGTGTTGGTCATTCTCTTTAGTCATTCTTAGAGACGGGTAATGGTATCTCATTGTAATTTGACTGGCAGTTCTGATGACAAAGATGTGAGCATCTTTGCACATGCTTATTTGCCATTTGTATGTATTCTTTGGTGACACGTCTAAATCTTTTGCTTATTAAAATTGTCCTAAAATATTTTATCACTGAAATGTGAGCTCCTTACATATTTGGACACAAAACCTTAATCAGATATGTTCATAAATCTACATCACTAGTCCAAGCCTTCACTGCTGTTATACTCCAATGCACAATGTCCCATAGTTTATCCACTCACCCGGGACAAAAAAATCTCAGAGACAATTAAAAAAAATATCTTCCTTTGCTCCTGGAATGTTTTTTTTCAATGGGCATTCATTTTTTTAAACATGCAGACTTTTCTAAGTGTCCATTTACTCTTGGTTGTCATTTCATATTAAAACACAAGAACACCAGCAATGCTTGAGTAGGAGCCTGTAACTGCAGGGTCAATGCTTCAGGCAGGTGACAAACCATCGTGCTGGAAGACCTTTAAAGACTGAAATAGGTAGAACTGTTCTTTTCTGGCATGCCAATTTATGAGGCCCCCCGCCGCCTTTCCCCATCCCACCTTGCTTTTCTCTGGGAATGGGTATGTAGCTCATTTCTGAGCTTTATGTGCCGTCTGCAGCAGCAGGAATGGAGTGGACCCTGTTGTCTGCCCCCTGCACAGACTTCCAGTCGGATGTCACCATGAGGTGCACATTGACTGCCATCAGCCCTAGCATTTAGGATTTACCATTGGAACAGGGCACAGTACGGCACATTTACCATCTGAGCAGCACCTCTGGTCCCCACTCCCACCTGTGCTGTGGTTTGATGCCATAACTCGCTCTCATTCTCTCAATGGGGCCGTTCCCTCCCACACCAGAGCTATGGCAAGAGGGATCATGAGAAACAAAAACACATGTTCAACTGATCATATGTAACTGTGAACTTTTTAAGTATACTCCTTAAAAAGCATAAAAACTATTCCTAATGTTGTTTTTAAAAAAGTAAATGTCCTTTCCCAATCACTAGTCAATAAACAAAGGAAGCTGCAAATGAAAAAAAAACAGAAAACATAACATAGGACATTTCAGTGTAGCAATTAGTAAGATAATTCGAGCTAACTTATTAAATGGTAAAGTCTATTTATTAGGTTGCTCAAGACAATTAAAACAAATAACAAACATTTAGCCCTGACTGGTGTGGCTCAGTTAGTGTTGACCTACAAAGCAAAGGGTTGCCAGTTTGATTTGGGGCACATGCCTGGGTTGTGGGTTTGGTCCCTGGTTGGGGAGCATTCGGAAGGCAGCTGATTGATGTCTTCCTCTCACATCAATGTTTCTTTCCCCCTCTTTCTCCCTCCCTTCCCCTCTTTAAAAATAAATAAAATCTTTAAAAAAACAAGTAACATTTAAAAACTTGGAATGAGAGGATAGGTAAAGGAATACCAGATGAATTTATCAACAAAAAATGCAGTGGCAATATTCTTATCAAAGTAGAATTCAAAGCAAGAAGCAGTGAGATTATCTTATACTGGTAACAGGTACAGAATGTGAGGTGGAAAGTTCTGCAAACACATTAAAACATAAAGCAAACACAAGTAGAAATATAAGGAAAATTTGAAAGAACAGTAAGCTTGCGGAGAATTTCAACAATGTAATTAGTATGTCTGAATAACAAACAGCATAAACTACAAAAATGTCCTTATTATTATAAAAAGCTTGAGGCAACATAGGAAAACTCTGAATCCACAAAGGAAAATTCCACATAAATAATCTCTCTCCACACATGCTAAAATGAACCAAAATACCCTTTAAATAAAATCTCCAAATGTTTGAAAAGTAAAAAGCATTACTTCAAACAGATATTAATTTCCTAAAAATGCTTAGTTCAAAACAAACCTAAGAAGTACAGCTGGAGACCACGTGGGTTATAACAATAGAAACATTAAACTGAAGGAAATGTGGTCAGTATTACTTAGCAGAAAAAGTCTTACAAGCTAAAGAAATGCTTGCTGAGAAAATCAATGCATGAAGCATTCCTTCTAGACAGTAATGAACATGTCTCTCCCGAATTACACAGTGAGAATGAGATAAAGCAGATAATAATAAATTAGGAAATACAGAGGAAATTACCATAATAAAAGTTGAGAGTAAAACAGAAAAGCCTAGCATCTAGTGAATAACCCACGAGATTAGAATGTCAACAAGGACATGTCCCTAGTTTGCCATCTCCACTACGCCTGTTGGCAAACACACTCATTTTCTGATCTGCATTAAGTACGTTTGAAAATTTCAAGAGAAATACAGAATTAAAAAAAAACAAAAACAAAGAAATAAACCCAGTGGCTAAAGTAGAAAACAGACCAATAACCATGTAAAAAAAATAAAAGAATGCTCAATAATCATCTAAAAAAAAAGGCATTCCTGTTAAAGTCACACAAGAATCCTGATGATTACCTCTATTACTCAAAGTGTACTTCAATTTCTTGCTAATATAAGGAGCAGACAAAAGGAACAGCTTCAAATGTTGCGAAACAAGAACTTGAGATATTTGCAAATGATATGACTGTGAAGCTACAGAACCTAAGAATAACAAAAAAAAAAAAAGTTGAAATGTATCAAGTAATTTCAGGACCATGGCTAGATATGACAAACATACAAACCTTGATAGCTTTAATTCATCCTAGTTATAAAAAGCATTCAGAGACACGTTGTCATTCACAGCAAACAAAATGTCAAATATCTAAAAATAACAGAAGTACACAAGATTTATAGAAAGAATGTTAGACAGTTCCACTGAGACAGGTAAGAATATCTGATATTCCAAAGTTAATGTAGGTGGCGCGTTTTCCGGGCTAAAGATGTGACTGTCTGAACCACAGTGAATAAGTGTCAGTGCAGTAGTCACAATGAAGACTACAATAAAAGTGAGTGGACTTGTGACAGTTTTTATTAATCTCCTTAGTATAATTAACACAACTGAAGACCATTTACTAAGCTATAAGGAAACAAAGGGTAGAGAGACCAGACAGAAGATTCCTTCCCATGTTAGTAATCCACCCACTGTGTGCAGAGAAAGCTGAGACCCTGCACCAAACCTTGGGCTAACCCAAACTTCTGTACACGTGGGCCATTAACAGCAGCGCTTCTAGAAGGAACATTCAACACTGAGCTTCTCTGGCTCCAGACACATCCTTCTGGCCAGGTGCACCACCCAGAACTCAGGGAGGGGCCCTAACCCAGCAAGGCTGTCTCAGTCATTGGAGTTTTCCTGAGATCCCGTTTATTGCTTTAAGGTTTCAAGTAACTGGTCAGAAAAAGGCAAAGTTCATTTAATAATAAAATTTCTCCACAAAAACACTGTCTTCAGTTACAGTGGAGCACAGCAGCACCCTGAGTAACTCTACCCCCTAAGGATCCTACGGAGAGCAGTTTCTATGTCACAGCTCACAAGGGAGGTAGCCTCGAGGAGGGCGGGGGAGCTGACGGGGTGGGCACCGGGGGTCTAGAGAGCTGGGGGCCCAGGGCCTGCTGCCAGCCCAACGGTAGCTGAGTGCACCGTCAGGACACCACCTCGGGTGAGTTGTGGAGGACTCCTGCAACCTAGGTGCTGCCAGTGGATCGGAAGTGAACAGTCTCTTCGACTTCTCTTCCAGTTTCCATGTCTGCAAAGGTGGCAGCAACGGCGGAGGCAGCACTGTCCCAAGGGGAGAGGGAGGGGACCTTTACCATGAGGTCACTGGATTTTCACGGAGAGCCCAGAGTCAACAGCCTTCCCACTGGAGATATCTTTTAAATATCAGGCCATGGGTAGTAAATTTTATCACTGCCATTTATCTTAGAGGGCCTTTCAAGTACCTCTAAAGCAAGAAATTCTGCTTCAAGGTATCATTTTGCAACGCTTGAGAGGTACTCAAAAAAGTGCCTTCAAAATTTCTAGTTCTACCTGGAAGTTAGAAGAAAAGGAAGAAGAGCATCTCAGATCAGAGAACAGTGACAGCTTATGGCGAGTGGCCTGAGACTGGGGGCTTCAGCAGGTAGCCAGAGGGGGTGCAGTCTGCTGTGCTCCACCTGCCTGCTCCCACCCTCTGGCCTCCATAAAATCCCTTTTGTGGGGGACAGAACAGCTTGCTCCTTGTAAATGCTGGCCCTGCCCTGCCTGTATCATCACCTGCCTGGTGGGCCAGGCTGGAGCAGGCCTTTTGTCCTGGGCCTCCTGCATCTTCTTTCTCCATCCTGAAAATCTCTGCCCGCACAGGACCCCACAGGGAGAGCCCCCGTGTTTCCCTGAGTCCCTGACTGCACTGTCTGTACCCCAGGCCTCTCTGACCCAGTGGAATGAGAGGGACCTAGAAGACAGATCATGCCTCTGTGGTGGGAAGAGACGACATTGCCTTTCACCTTGAAAGAACTGTTCTAGGGGTAGTGGAAGGTTTTGATCCAGAGAGGCCTTCGAATTCGGCATGTACATTCTGGTCTTGTGCACACTTCACTGGACATAACCGACAGAGGGAAGTCCCAAATCAGAGACATGCTCAGCAGCAATTGCCCAGAGCTCCAGATCCCCGCCCTGGTATGCTGTAGAATACTTCAACCTGTATTCCAGTTTGATCAGTTTGTTGTTGGGTAACTTACAAATTTACTAGGAAAACAATTCTTAGGGCCAATCTTGAAAAAGATGAAGTAGCAGGAAAATTACAAAGAATCCATTTATACAATCCCTAGAGAAATATCATCAAAATGCTTCAAGTAGAAGACAGTTCCACTGACAATGGACTTAAAACAAAAATGGAATTAGAATTTTTCTGAATTTTGGATAATCTTCAAATTTCTGAAGGTACCACCTACAATAAGAAAAAAGGACATTAAAAAAGGGAAAATAATTTTGTGACTTAAACATGTAGCAAACAAAATACTAACAAAAGGAACAATATTTTTTTATCATAAAAGCATAGTTTTAAAAAGTAGCAGTCATAAAAACTTTGGCATTTCAGATACATAGGTTGGTTTTTGTCTGTGTCATGAATAATTAAATAATTAGTGATTACAAAGTGTGATTCACAAGAAGTGGCCCACATAATTCACTCCTAGTTGGCAAGAATAATTACTGATGTGTGATGAAGATGCTGATTAGCGTATGGTGGAGCTATCGTCCCAGACCCAGGAAGCCAGCAGACTAGGGGACAGGGAGGAACCTGTAGGTGTATCTTAATTATCTCTGGTGACTCTGACAGTTCCCTCCAGAGCCCAGGAGAAAACTACTGCCTCAGACCCAGGGTCTGTGGAAAAGGCACCCGACCAGATGACTGTCAAACAGACCTGAGAAAATGCAACATGGCGTCATTCACAATTGGGCCCTGTACTCAGAACAAATACGTATTTTTCATTTTGATATAAATTTTATCAACAAAGGCATATTCATTTGATTTGGGATAACAGCTATTTGGGAAGGGTGGAAACTAAGTGGACAGAGTAAAAATTTTAAATATTTTGACATGATGAAGAAATAGAAAAATGGAGTTTCCATAAGCACAAAAGAAGGTTGAACAGAATAAAAGCCATGACAGAAAATGACTAGCTATTTGTTAACATGGCAGCAATACCTGACAACAGCACACAAAGTGAGTGAACACAGTCCTATCGATCTTAGATTTTGGAGAGGCTTATTAACACTACAATCCAAAACTGAGGACTATGAGAGACCACCATGCTTGCTTTCAGATGCTGTCTGTGCACCCAAAGGACATGCGATGAGAAAAGTCCTGAGAACCTGGGCAGGGGACCTGCGGGTCAGCCATAGCAACAACGGTCTTTTCCAACAAAGTGACATGCTGCAGACTAAAGTGCCGTGGCACAGGTGGCCACAGACAACAGTTCGAAGTACGTAAATGTGCAAAATACACATACTGCTCATTAGCCACCAAGTTTTCATAGGTCTGTGAACTGTATAATGTGCACTCCCCCCAAATCTGCAGGTTAAAAAAAACCTAACGCCCAGGTGATGGGTATTAGGTGAGGATCTGGGATGTGATTAGGTCCTGAGGCTGGAGTTACATGATGGGAATAGTGCACTGGTAAGAGGCCCAAAAGAGCTCCTTGCTCCTGCCAGGTAAGGACACAAGAAGGTACTGTCTGCAACCCAGAGGAGGGACTTAAGGCACCTACTTTATGGTGCTTTTTGTTACAGCAGCCTGAACAGACTAAGACAGCCTGTTGCGGAACCAGGACAGGGACCATGAGCAAGTTTCTAAGAGCTTCCCCATGAGTCAGCAGCGCTGGGCACTGTGTCCAGAGAGGCAGGAGGCAAGCTCCTCTCTCCTAGAAACTCCCCATTGAAAAGGAACACATTAGCTTCAAAAGGGCAAGAGTGATAGCAAAGGACAGCTTAAAATTCAAGAAAGCAGGACAGCCACACCCACACGCACTGGCAGGGTATCAGAGGACGAGAGACAGCCCTGCAGTGACCCACTCGCTGCGCCGCAGGTTGGGTGCCCTGGGCTGTTTCAAAGAGCCTTTGCTGGAGCAGCACTTTCTCACTAGTAAGGCTGTTTGTCAAATATGTTAAATTTATTTCACAGGAATTATCTTCTAGGAATAAAATATACTTTGCTATATGATTAAATTTTCTCAATTATTTAATCACTGAGATCAAGAAATTATATTTGAAGATTTATAATTGGGGGTAGATGCATAAATATTTTTTAAAAGGGAATAAGCAGCATGATATATATTATTTTTCTCACTCATTTTTCTATGTCTAGAATCAAAAAGCTGTCACCTATGTGACAAAGACCACAGCTGGATATCAATTTTTTGTCTTTTTTTTATTGTGGGGCCTGACTTAAAGCCCCCTTGCCTTCCAGTTGAAAGGGAAGTGACCCCTAGCCAAGGACTGCACATTTCATCACATTTCATTCAGGTTATGCTAAATCTGAGATAATTCTTCAAAGCAGTGTGTTTTTCTGGCTCACCAGCTTCATGTTCCCAAATCTCAATCATGGAAGTCTTGCTCTGGTGGAGACAGGTCAGTGACCACTGAATACACATTTGCAAGTGCTCACAAGTCACGCTCTTTGCGTTTGATGGTGAATGGGGCTGGTGAATGGGGCTGTGAAACCAAGGCAGCACTTCATAGTCTTGTGTGTCCTTACTCTTTAAATCATTACACTATCCATCAGAGTGCCTTAAAGACACTTTGAATTCATTTTTTAAGTGACATTAAATTTAATAGGTAAGCATGTGATCATTATTGCAACAGAGGCCCTTCTCAGAGGCTGTCCTCGCTGGCCGGGACCCAGGGTGCAGCTTTGGGACGTGACAAGCCCACATCCGTACTCAGCCTGTCACCTAACAGCTGCAGAAGTGCACGCGGCCATGCTCTGTCTGGTCCAGTGCATGAGTGTGATGCCCAAGGCTGGCGGGAAGGAAGCCGTGTGAAAAAGGCCCCCTTACAACTCCCTGAAATGTTGCTCTCCCCCTACAATATCTGTCAGCACTCACCACAGCTGACCCAGCTTGTCTGGCGTGGGGCTCAATGACCAAGACAATCGTTTGTGAATTAAATACTTTGTGTCTGGCAGTTACGGACAAAAATCTGTTGTAACAAAACGCTGCTGTGCTGCAGGATGAGCCCCGTGGACTGTTTTCTCTCGGAACTAGTGTATCTGATGGGCTAATTAGGTGGGCTCACTGGTTTATTTTTTAAAAAATAGCTTTCATTTTGTCTTCAGCTTACAAAACCAGCATTTGTAAACATACTTCCACTAAACTGAATTGACCTAGTATTCAGCAATTAAAATCGGTTTTGCAAAAACATTAATTTAAACACCAAATAACAAACAGCCCTTTCAATTCATGAATCTTTATGCAAAGAATATCTCAAAAAATGGAATTATGTATTTCCTAGTTTCAGATGTTTCATATTCAGATGTTGGGAGGGAATTTCCTGTTCCATTTTCATTTGAGGAAAGATCTTTACAAGTGACCTTGCATGCTCTTGTTCCATCTTCCCCGATCCAGTTTCTTAAAATATCAGCATCAACTCATTTGTTTTTATTACTAGAAACTAGACAGTATTTGTTTCTTAATATGTAACACAACAGAAGTCCAGGAGTAGCATCTTCCCCCAGAGGCGATGGCAGCCGTGGAAGGTGGTCAGGCAGGAGGAGGGGGAGCAGATTCTCAGGCACACGGGCACACAGGGGCTCCTGCTGGGCTGAGATCAGCGGGTTGTCGTTGTCATTGTTGATGCCCGAAATCTGGCTTTGGTTTTTATTCATTTTCTAAGACTTTGTAATGTATTTACAGTCTGAAGTGCTGATATGTTATTTCAGCCAAGCCTGCTTAAGAGTATGAATATTCCTGCTTCTAAGGAAGGCATTTGAATGTCATGGGGGGAGTGCACTGACCCCAGGTCAGCACAGTGGGCAGCGGCGCCTGTGTGAAGGGGCTCGTGAGGGCTGATACACTGGCCCTTCCCTCCAGCTGTGGGCCTTCTGGGCTCCCATTACTGCGCAATCAGCCTTCCTCCTTGTAAGTAGCATATTGCCAGTCAGATCCCAGATGCCCTGCTCGACACTGAACTTGACCACTGAGTCCAGTGTCCAGCATATAAATTCAAGGAGGCTCAGAACAGGGTGAATAAAACAAGCTGATGTGTATCTGATGATTCCTTGCAGCTGAGTTATTCTTCTGATATTTGTGTGGTTTTGAGCTTTTTAGCCAAAGCATAACATAAAATGAGATTCTGCAATTCAAATTAATATAACATTTCAAAAATCTAACTTTAACACAGGTATAATAAGCTCAGAGAACAAATTTAAAATGTTGAGAAGTGTTTTGAAACTTACTGGTGGTGCTCTTGTGCTCTGGGGAGCAAAACACAAAAGGTAAACAGAGCGAACGCCCCGCCTTGAACAGACCAGCTGGCCAGGCCATAGCCGCACCACTCAACCACTTCCCCAAAGTAGTTGGCTGCACTTACGTATTCAAATAAGCCTCCTAGAAGAAAGCACAGACCCAGCGGTGCAATGACTACAGAGTGATGCCCAGAAAACACTTGACTTAAGAGATAAGGGTGAACACTTGCTTGGAGAACATAAATTCAATTGTGGGGAATTACAACTTTTATAGAATATTAATCAATGGAGCACATCCAGCATTACTAGTTTTACTATTTCATATCACAATTTCTGGTAGTAACTATCTACCTGTACTAATATCTACCTATTTATCTGAATAGAAAATGCTACAGTTTTCATATGCTTCAATATATATCACTTCATTAGTTAATGTATCAAACTGAGAAAATCTGAGCAAGGACAGAGAATAGGGAATAACAGTTAATGAACTAGCTTAGTAAAATGGATGTGTATAAAACTCTAGACCAAGAATCGAAGACAATATTAATTTTCAAGGACAGATTCACTTATTCATTCATTCATTCACTCGCCACTCATCAAATCTATACCAATTCATCAGGTCTACATTATAGGACAGACCGTGACTGAGGCACTTGGGGTTGTACAACAGTGTGGATTAGATTCCCCTTGCCCCCCACATCTGGAACATCAAACCTTGGTGTATTAAACAAGGAAAGCACAGAGTATGGCAGAGGGTGTGGAGTCCTGTGGGGAGCAGAGCAGGGTAGGAGGGACCAGAAGTTGAGGTAGGAGTAGAGGGAGGTCATGGTCACAAACAGTGCCTAGGAACAGGCCTCCCCCAGCAGATGAGGTTGATCTCAGACTCCCTGGGAGGGTGGGGCTACAGTTGTGGGGGTGGGAGCCCTCCAGGCAGGAAAAGCAAAGGCCCTGAGGCCACAGGGCAGAGCTGCACATTCTGCCTGGTGATCGCCTTCAGGGCCTCAGTTTAAGTGATTTGAGATTCGTAAGAATTTTTTTGTCATTTGTTCCTTAGGTTGCTATTCTCCTTGTATAGTTTCTGGATAGGTAAACAGAAGGGTTTCAAACTAAGTATGGCTGTATACTTCCCAGCTCCATTGAGGTTTTAGTCTAACCTACTTGATTTCTTTTTTAGAAGCTCTACTCGTTTCTAACTTGTATTTGCTTAGTCCTTTTTATAGTATATACTTTTTTTAAACTCATAACTCCAATCCCTTTTAATTTTCTTAAACATCTAAATATTCAGTGTATGATCTGTTCCCATTAACACTAAGGCCTGAGGTCTCTCACATTTAATCGTGCTACTGTTCTCAGTGCTGGATTTCTTCAATGGTCTGCAACCTTTGAGTATGGCTCTTGTTCCTTGGCACATGGTCTGTAGGGCTCTCTTAGGCCTCAGTAGATGGCAGGTCCCTTTGGGGATCTGGGTGTGCCCTGGCCCATGTATGAGGACACCACTCACCAGGACTATGTGGATTGTAATTCAAGGCTTGAGGTTTTTCCGACCCTCTATGTGGTGTGGATTTGGGCTGCAAAGCAGCATGAGCACAGGTGGTGGCCACTGATTCTCACAGGTGTGCTCTGGATGCTAGGACTCGGACTTTGCCCTTTGATGTGACTTCCTTCTCTGATACCACACAGATACATTTAAAAAGACCTTTTAAAAATTCAACCAGTGACAGCAAAGCATGAAGCAAAGAAATACAAAACCAATTTAAAGATAATATGGACTAAGAAACTTGATATATTGAAAATGTGCCAAGAAATAGCTGAAAATGAGATGAAAAGAGCAGACAGGTTTTTACTGACATCGAGCATCTACTGGTTTGCTTGCCTTTTTCTTATTGATTTAATTTAACCCTTTATATGCTATGAACAATAATAATAGCTCTCAACTAATGAAAGAAAGTAAATTTTATTATCTCCATTTTATATGTAAAAAAACTGGAGCCATCCTACTCCCAAATTTCATCCAACATTTTGAATTGTTTTCAGAGGGAGGGTCAGTCAAGGTATCTATCCTATAATACTTTTAAAAATGAAGTATAAAATACCCCTTGTAAACCATAAATTCTTCCTCATATTCTCTCTTTCCAGAGATAAGTAGAGTTTCCTTTTTGGTTAGTAAGCATTTAGTTAGCCAAACTTTATCACTTTAATAAAACAATAATCATAATGATTGCTATTAATAATAGTGACTCATATTAAAAACTATAGCTAAGTCCTGGCCAGTGTGGCTCTGCTGGTTAGAGTGTTGTCACATGCACCAAAACGCTGTAAGTTCAATTCTCGGTCAAGGCACATGCCTGGGTTGTGGGTTCAGCCCCTGGTGGGGACGTGTACAAGAGGCAACCAATCAATGTTTCTCTCTCATATTCAGGTTTCTCTTCCTCCATTCCCCTCTCTCTAAAAATCAATGGGTGTGGATTAAAAAGCAAACAAACAAAATTACGGCTAATACATACTACACTTTAGTTATCAGATCTGGCAAAACTAAAACAGCAAGGCATCATGCAATGTAATTTTAGAATGAATTCTCCATTTTCAGTACATACCCCTTGGAATTTTGTATCCAGTCTCTCCTGGCTGCCTGAGATTCCTTAGGATGTGATCTGAGTGAATGTTTATCAGCATGCCTACTAACCACAGGGCAAAACCTGAAGGAAAAAAATACACAAGAGCATTGATTGAGAAACTACAAAATTTACAAACCCATGCTTGAATGAACAGTATCACTAATTCTTTTATTGCACTAGTATGATATATAAGCTATAATTGATAGTAGAAACCAACATAATAAATATTGTCCTCATCAATTGATGAGTGAGTTACAAGGATAACTACTACTCTCAGGTATGCTCGATAGGATTTTATTTTTCTAATAATATTAATTATCTGATCTAGTCAAAATACTTTGACCTGATGGCACAATCTGTTTTCTAGAATGACCGGTGTGATGAAGAAATACGACTATGGTCATGACGACTCTGTGAGGCACGACCGCCCCCTCCTTTCAGCAGAGTAGCGGGGCATCTCAGGGCACGTTCCCAGGAGCTCATCTCTGGTCCTTCTCTTCTCTCTTTATAACCCTGTTTGAATATTTTCCCGCACATCCACGGCTTTCCCACTGCTGGTTTCCCGTCACTCATCAATCAGCACTCCTAGGTCCGCTCATCTGCCTCAGCTCCCAACAGTCTTCCACAGCCACTGCATGTTCTTCTAGAGACTCCAGAGCTTCCTGAACGCTTCCCCTCCCATTCTGAAAGTCTTCGATGGGCTGTCATGCCTTACAGGAGACTTATCAGTATCACATCAACCAGTGCCAACAAGAAAAGGCAAAATGCCAAAATAGTGTTTTACAAAATAACTTAATTTTGACAAAAAATAGTTGATTATTCTGAGATATTTAAAAATATGAAAGGCAGATGTTGCTTTATGGTAGCATTTCATTCAACAGGAAAGAAATGCATACTTGGAGTAACATTATCAATTACTCGTCAGTCATCCTGATGGCATTAAGTAGCTTCTCCACGAAGCGCCCTGCTCTCTGGTAAGGGTCTCAAGAGCTCCTCCTCCTGATTCTACCACGGTAGGCTGCTTTCCTTCTAAACAGGTCACACCAAATTCTTTAACGCTTTATGTCACTATCGAATCCATATATTTATAGCTGATTCACCACCTTTTTTGCATGTCAGTTGTCTCCTCTGAGTGATGTGGTCCCCTATGTAAGGTTCCAGAAAGAATGTTCTCAGAATTCCATGCTTTACTTTATTCCTCTTCTGAGAGACAAGCTCCCTTTACTGCCTAGATTGGCAGGAAAACTAGTATTTGTGCTCATCTAAGCTAAGCATTCAATTCCCTTTCTGGGGATCTTAAAATTTTTGCATAAAATCTTCTAGACTAACAAGTTTTACTGCTCTGGAAAACTTTTTGTTATGGTATCATCATCATTATATGCTTAACTCTTAAGTATTATAAATGTAATCAATTAATTATTCATGTAATTTCATGTTTGTCTCCTTACAAAAACTATAAACTCTGTGAAATAAACATAATGCAAAAAGAGTAACCTAGTTTGTTTCCCACTGACATTTTTTCATTTTTGATTCCTTCTGTTCAATTGCAAAGAACCCAGAGGTTTATATACAATTTATTGGTGTCTTAAATTTTACACCAGCTTCCAAGCATCTGCAGGTGATGTGGTCTGTCTGTAGAGCTACTTTAAATGGCATTCACATTTACAGACCAAAGGGATTCTTTTGTTTTATTGTTCATCAAAATTATTCACACAGTTCATCACAGAAATGATTCCTGTGAGAATCACAAATAAACATTAAAACCCTGACCTTTTAGATTAAAAAATCTCTTTCCTCTTGTCCCTCTACTTTCAGTGTGGTGAGCAGGTTTAAACCCCTGCTCTGCTTCTTACTCAGTTTAGATGAACCAGCCGCTTAGCCCCCTGAGCCTCCCTTTCTCCTGTGAAAAGGACCTAATTTCCACCCTTCTTAGGACACTGGGGAAACATAAGGCATGTACGTGTTCAGCTCCTGGCTGATGGCCAGGCCTTTCTTTCCGCAGCTTCTGATGGGTGGAGCAGAAGAAAATCAGGTAAATCGAGAAGGTATTTGGGGGTAGTATACAAACAACGTAATTTAGTGTTTCATGGAGGCATGGACTTGTGGATCTTGAAAAGGATCTTGAAAACCCTCCTGGTCTGTCCCTCCTTTGACAGGGGAAGCAGCAGATCCCTCCTGGGAAGGATTCTCTGGCATGACAGGGCACTGCCCTGGGACTGAAACTTTAATTTACAGAAAAAAACCATGACTGAGAAATACAGGAGTACTTTGTCAATAACAAAGTACTATTAAATGTTAGTTTTTACTATTATTATTAATTTATTCAGAGAAAAAGCCAAATGAAATATAAGGTAACTTTATGGAGTTCAGGGTAAAAGGCTGTGGGGCAGCTTAAAAATTTGAGGGATAATTTCACACCTCTTAGTACGCAGCCCCAGGGGCCAGTTCCATCCTCATGTGCTAGAATTTCTAGATGCCAGGAGGACAAACTACATAAACATGCAAGAATATCCTTAAAAACAAGAGCCCTGAGATCATGTTTGTTTAACACTCTTGCAAATATTTTTGATGGCTAAGGTTTTATTTTCATTTTTGCCTGGAACTTAGTTATAATTAGAACTTGAAAAGGTACATTAATTTACAGTAATTGATAAAAATTTTTAAATTTCAAAACTTCCCAAAGGTAAAAGTATAACTTAGTATAACTGTAAATATCTAATTGCTTTGTTGGAAGATGACCGGTCTGATTTTTTTCTCAGGATCCAGAAGAATCTGCCGGAGGTGCACGGCTGACTTAGATATAACATGGCCAATTTGTGCCCAGGTCTCCACAAGTCTTCCAGCTGCTCAAGCTGCTGGAACTTGTTGCTACACTTAGGTTCGTTCGCCTTAAGAACAGGCGTTTGTGCTTTCAGTGTCTGAGTGGGCGCAGGTGCGGTGGGAGAGCAGGACTCTACCCTCAGCACTTCAGTCCCAGTCCCCTGGCAGCTGGGTCACAAATCATCAAGACTTTTTCCTTTTTCCAGAAGCGCAGGCTTTCTAACTGGAAATGACTGAAACAACACTGGGGTCATTCACCTGTTAGGAATCGGGGGTCAGTGACCCAGTCATCAGCATACTCTGCATACTGGCTTAAGTATCTGCCTTGTAAGTAGCCGTTGTAGGTACAGAACACGAATGCAATTACACATGAGTACAATGGTGTAGGCTTCCCTCCTCGGATCAGAAACGGAAAAATTAAGGACCTTAGGAAACAAGAAATAGAAACAAATGAAAACAACAATAATCCAGAATATATTCCTACAATTCTGTTTTAAGTTTCTTGGGGTTAAAATCTTGCTTCCTTGCACAAAAATAATTCTCAGTAACACTCATACTGATTTAATCTCTGTTAAAGGCACAATTTCTAGATTAAAAAAAATTAACCATGTTTCAACAACATACACTGTGGTGCATAAACTCAGGATTCTTATTACATAGAATGTGAAACAGACACATCGAGTGAGGAAAAACAATGTTTCAAGAAACTCTCAAGAACTTCACTATCCTAAAACCCACAGCTCCTTCTACTATGAGCAATACAATTTGGGGGACACCACTTTATCACCCACCACCGTCACAAATGGCTCTCAGCTACTAAGCACCTATAAGGCCTCACAGCTACCTGGATAGCGAACACTTCATACACACTCCACAGAAGATGAGATTAAGACTCTGAGCAGTTAACTAATCTGGTCAAGGCCACAGGGTTAGTGTGTGGCCACATCTAAGTGTCAACCTGGATAATTCAAAAATTATGTTCTTCTGTTATACCACACTGGCTTAGGTGCACACTACTAAAAGCTTAAAGAGAGAAAATAAAAGAACAATAAATCACAAACTTACGAAGAAAAGAAGATGCACAAGTTTCTAAACTACAGATGAATGAAGTGTTAAAGAAGTGACTTTGAGGACACGTTCTGCAAAAGTAGTATTTCCCTCCAGGATATGAGAATCACATAGGGTGGCTAACGTTTGGCAGTTCTCCCCATTTGGTTTCAAGTCCAGGGCTGAATTCTGCACGCTGGTAAACATCTGCTGGCAGCTTTTAAAGGTGAAACCCAAACCTCTCTTGTTTTTCCCTCACACCCCTTTCCTCCTCTTTCACAAACATCCAGTGCTGTGTGGTGACCAGAGTCCAGATCAGGTATCTGCAAATCCAGTTTATCACCTGTTTTTGTACAGCATGTGAGCTAAGAATAGTTTTTACATTTTTAAATATAGTAGGAAAAAAAATCAAAAGACTATTTTATGACACATGAAAATCATATGAAATTCAAGTTTTGGTGTCCGTAAATAAAGTGGCATTAGAACACGGCCCAGTCACCTGTTTACATACTGCCTGTAGCTGCACCTGCAGACCTGAGTGGCTGTGACGAGCCTGTAGCACTGAATTCATCCCCCTGCATGGTTGCTCCGTGCACTGCAAATCCCCGTGACAGTGTTTTGAGTGCCAGGCATATCCCTGTATGTAGCACACATTTAATTAATTTTAGTATCATTGACCATCGTGTCAAAACAAGTGAGCTAACTCTTCATGGCCTGACGGCGCAGTGGAGTGTGAGAATTACTGCAGGAGACAAAGCACTCTGGGCCACAACGGTATGAGAGCTGTGCCAGAAGAACACACTAGAGGTTGGCATCACCAGACTACACGCTCATCACAGTATCCCCGACTCACAGGAAAGGTCAAAGAATTTCTTTACACAAAGTGAATGAAAATGAGGCCACAACCACAGGCAGTGAGAAGTGGTTCATTAGTTAGGTGAGCTAGGGAAGCCATACACCAATGGGGAATGAAGTAGCTGCGGCAGCAACCACGGAGCATGTCCAGATGATACAAACTTGTTTGGCACAACCAGCCTTTCCGTGAGAGCAGCTACTGCAGGTGGAACACCAGAAGCAACGCCAACAGTCAGTTAAAAAATGAGGCACAGGCTGGAGCGTGCAGTCTTCCTTGGCTCGTTGGGTCCACAGATGTCACTGATACTGCTTAGCTGTTTATTCAAGGACTCAATGCCACAGTTGATGTGGCTGAGAAATGAGGCTCAAAATAGTCTGCATGGAACAACAGAAGGTGACACTATTTCCAAGGAAGTTGAAAAACACAAATCCTGTACAACCCGAAGTGGAACCTGCTAAGATGTTACAACTGATGGTAAAAATGTATGGAAGAGAAAAATAGACCCATTACAAATTTACAAAACTTGTTTTCCAGAACAATCTGTTGCATGTGACTGAACCAATAGGGTTAACAGAGAATTTGACATTCCCTCTAGACTTCACCCTACTTTGAGCTCAGAACTGAAACAAAAACTTTTCTTAACGAGAAAAATTGCCCTCATCCACTATCACTGTTTCAAAGGGCTTTGGAAATTAGCTTTTACTGTGGACTCAATAATGTTTCTTAGTGAATTCAACCCAAAATTATAAGGTAAAAAAACACTTATGTGCAAAACTTATACTGTATTAAAGGCATTTCAATGGCAACTGACATTGTTTGAATCACAGGTCATGTCAAATAGCTTTATTTCCTTTCTACGCTGTTCAAGTTAAAAGAAGGGGTGAGGTCCCCATTCTTAACAGAAATTAGCAGTGGATATAATTTTTAAGCTCTTTCAACCGTGATTTCCATACTTCAAAAATCATTTAACTGTATAATTGGGAAGCTGCCACCTAATATTCAATTGGAAGATATTAATCTAAAAAACAATGACACCTAAAAGGAAAATATCAAGAGAAGCATCTAATAGAATTTGATAAATGTCACTGGAGCAATGAATGAGCTCAATTAAAGTCATAAACTCAGGGACTAATATCTGTACTGGCAATGCCTGTGTGAAAAGACATTCTCTAAAATCTCACTGCAGATCAGCACTAACAGGTGAACACTTACAACAGATTTTAGGGAACAGGGAACACTAACTCTGAAGTCCAATGAAGTAACATGTCACCCCCACCAAAAGGAGAACTGCAGCCTTCTCATTACACCTGCATGACAAAACTACCTGAGATACTATATTTTCAAGTTTGTCAATAAAAATTTTGTGAACATTTGTTTTTTCTTTTGTTATAAATATCTATGCAATAGCCCCTATTTTGCCTGTTGGCCCACAGGCCTATATTATGCACTATCTGGCTGGTTTCTTTAAAAAGTTTCCCATTGTCAACCTAGAATAAAACAGTTATGTTCCAGAAACATCACTTTGACTTTTTTAGAAAAATACTCTTGCTCAAGACCTTGCACTTGGGTTGCAGGCAGATGCTGCAGCCTGGGACTTGTTTGTGCCTGTGGTGGGGACCACGCACCCATGTGCATCCATGTCCTCAGCTATGCAGAGTGGTACTGCCTTCTGCCCAGCGTACATCCTGGGGGAACCTGGAAAAGACATTCATGAAGAACCAGGAGAGATTTACCTCTCTCTGGTCTCACATAAAGGCCAGAAAAGTGACCATGAACTGAAATGGCCTTATAAAGGGTGATACAGCTGTCATGTACTTCTAACCTCTGACTTTGAAGAGGCCTCGTAAAGGTGACACAGATGTCATGTACTTCTCTCTAACCTCTGACTTCGAAGAGGATAGTGGTGACCCTGATGCCAGTCAAGGTCAGGCAGAGAAAAGGTGGGCTCTGGCAATGTTGCCTATGCCTTCGGAGCTCCAGGAGGGACAGAAGGTACTCGCCCCATCCTGTCCTCCAAGTGTGAGCACCCCCAGGTGGACCAAATACTCCCGGCTCTGATGACACATAAGGCCAGGTATTGGAGCAGACAGACATCCAGATGCAGCACAGCTTCCAGAGGGGAGCACTCTGCTTACTCTATGCAGCTTTCAGACTGGTTTTTCTCCTTTGGGATTACTATCTTTGATTTTACTGCTTTTCCTTGGAAGTCCATGCAGCTGTTATCAGAAAGGTTCTCCTTTGACTTGGGCCAATTAGGAGCCAGAATGGAGGTAGAGAGGGTAGCTTCTAGACATGGCTTTTATCTGAGACTTCAGCTAGATAGAGGGACAGCAGCAGCTCAAGGATCAAAGTGGATGCCAGGCAGGATCACATGGTGATGAGTCACTCGAAGATGCAGGATCAGGCTTAGACAGTAAAAAAACTGGCACACCTGCTGGACTAACATACCTGTCACAGTGCAGCATGCAAGGTCCAGGGTGTCTCAGTTACAGCAGGTCTGGATATTCACAAGCCTTTTCTCACAAGTTGTCTCATCTGTACTCACAGTCACCCTTTCATCTAGGAACTGTAGAAAATGAGCATGTTCCCTCTTTCAGAAAAGGAGTTAAGTCAGAAGTTGAAAGTCCCTTAACATGGAAACCATCTTTTAAAAGTAACTATGAAGCACTTGGACTTGGGTGCTTCACGTTACTTGGGTAACGTGTTATAAATCCATTTTCATTGCTGACAGTGAGCTGAATGAAGCCTACACAGTGTTAGCCAGGCCCCAGGGCGCTATTCATCAGGCCGGGTGTTAGATGGAAAGCAACACTTGTTCTCCGCCATGCTACAATTTTCCTATCTTATTTTCCTGCTGTTCCACGTATACAAGCAGATTTACTTTTCACCAAGTTATTTTTAATTACTCATGCAAACGTGCACATCTTTGTATCTGCAGGATAATGGGGAATGTGGAACACATTTGAAGGGGTGAGCTAAGAGAGCTTCCAGAAGCCTGAATCTCGGTGGAGCTTCGATGGCCGGGCAGTCTGCTGCATGTCTTCTCTGGGATGAGTTTACAAGGTTAGGCCTATGGAAAAAGTGCTCCTCGTGGTTCCTGATTACAATGTCTCCAGTAATTCCTAAGGCCACACTGCATGCCCTTTAAACAGATCACCTTTTTTGACACTTCAAAACTATTACTACTACCCTATGTAACAGATCAGGGCCTGGACATTCTGAGGAACATAGAGGCGCTGGCAATGGAGACAGATGTGGCAGGCTTGAAGGCAAGGCCGCCTTCCCAGGTAGTCTATCCACCGCTTCACGAGGACCCCGTGACAAGTATGGCGGGGCAGAGCTGGCACTATCTATCCACGCCATGACTATTAAATAGTTGTTAGAAGTCACTTTCAGTAAGTGTCTCTGCTAAGCCAGAAAAATACTAATTATATTAAATGACAAAAGTGGGATAGGAGATTTTATGTATTTTTATGTGTGTACCTTTACTGCTTAGAAAAAATAATCAAAAAATTATTAAGAACAATGAGAGATGGGAATGAGATATACCCAAAACACTGTCATCATTATCTTTCAGTAATAGAATTATAGGTGGTTTCCATTTTCTTTCCTGAATTACTCCGCATTTTCTAAGTTTTCTACAACGAGCATGTACTTCAACCATAGGTTTGTTTGCACACAACACTGACCAATCCTTTAAGTCAGTGCTGACCTATCGCATTCAGAACAGACCAGGTGGACAAGAGGGAGGAACGGAATTCTATGGACTGAAGACCTGCAATTGCTTAGTGGAAGGGCTTGGAGAGAATCTGGCAAAATTAATTAGTAAGCAAACAAACACAGAGAATATCTGTGGGGAATCTGTAAATTTTAAGAGGAAAAAAGTATCCTATAAGCGCCCAGGAAGGAAAACAAATCACCAAAAGAATGAAAGTCACCAAAGCTGGACTGTGTGTCTGTTCTCACTGTGGAGCGAGGCCTGGAGGTCTCTGCCTCCATCTCACCCTCCTGAGCAGGACTGAGTGGTTTCTCTGACTTTTCAAGGAACCAGGAGTAACAGCTACACGAAACCACCTGGCTGGCAAACAAACACTGTGCGCGCCTTCTGGAGGTGACCTGCTTAAAGGGCAGCATTCCTTCCAGAGGTCGAATGCAGCCAACCACTTGGAATAACTATTCCTTAAACACTTCAAGTCAGATTTCATAATCCCAGAAGTAAGTTCCATGCCTGCTTAAATCACAGAGTAAACTATAAGGATTATCTCTTGAAATGTTTCCCCAACAAACTGGAATAACACCCCCGTTTTCTGCCAGCAAGAAAATAGGGCATTCATTCAGCAAATGAGTAATTCTGAAAATAAAAGAAACTGGACATCACCTCCCACAATTGGGCCCCTAATTTGGGAAACGAGGAAATATCTCATTTGGTTATTCGGGAGTAGTTTGGGTAATAGCAGATGCAATCATTTGCTATTTTTTAATCTTTACAACTGAAAATAATTTTAATAAATGACTGATTTTTTTACTCAAAATTTGAGGTCATTGAAATGTACACCAGTTCCTAGATTTCAATCAGTTCCTTTTTCTCATCTTTCCTTCTAGAAAAAACTCTTTTGCGATGATGACCAAATTACACAGTTCCCAACAACGCTACATAGGTAAATAAGTACTTCACATTTACAAGGCAAGGTTGGGATCTCAATGGCTATTTCCCTGTCATTCTATACTTTTGCATGAAAGTTTTTCCTTCCTCAGATTATATGAATCCACAAAGCATGGCCCACAGATTCGGTGTGCCCTTCACTCCCACCAGGTCTCTGTTTTTTAACTTTACACCTGCCATATAACACATTTAAAAGTGAGGCTGGACCAGGCTCTCCCCAAGGGGCCATTAATAGAACTGAGCAGGAGAAACATGCATGTGAAGTAGGTGAGGTTCACTGAGGCATCATAATGAGGAATCTCGCTCGGTCATGGGTCTGCTGAGCACACACCTCAGAGTAGCTGTCAGAAAGAGGAGGCCTTGTGGGCTTCTGAAAGTCTGCAATCTGGAAGCCATTCAATATTCTCCATCTGTAGATCCCAGCTGGCATGGTAAAAACAGTGACAGCACACGCTTAAGTGGGAAGTCATTGTTTGTCGTGGATCAAAACGTTCACACAGATGTGCTTCCCCATCCACCAGGAAACTGGTCAGTTGTGGCGTGTCCTTTCCCACAACTGTCTCCTCTTCCCCTTCTAGTTAGGATTCTTCTTCCCTCCCTAGCTCTTCTGCCAAAAAGATCCCACATATTCTCTGCAGTTTATCTCCCACTCCGACTCCTTAAGGACAATAGTCTTTATATCCCCAATAATGTCTACGGTGCCAGGTACATGAATCAACCCTCAGCAAATGTTTTCTGGATGAACACATAAAGATGTCCAGGTTTCCCCTTTCCTTTAAGCAAATACCCCTTCCATTGACTGTGAGAAGCCCCTCCATCTGGCTTTCATCCTCCCCACTCTGTGAAGAAGCTAAAACTCCCCTAGGGCAGGGCCTGGCCACCCTCCTCAGAGTTCAGCACCTGGGCTCTCACAAACACTTGCCAAACTCTGTTCAGTCGCCACCACTCGGTCCTGGTCAGAGTCTCTATTTGGAAAACACCACCTGATTCATGTTTCTCCTGTCACCAGCCCCATTCCAGCTTCATGCTTACAGTCGCCTCTCTTATTCAGGCCTGTAACACCTGCATTGTCCCATATAAACGAGGAATTCCAGTAACTGTTCCCCAGTTCGGCTGTACGGTTTGTAACAAGTATTAAATGCAGCTGGTACTTCTGTTCTCTTCCAAGTGCTCACCGACTTAGGTCAGATGACTGTTTAATAAATTAGTTGCTTCGGTAGAATGGAAAATGTTTATCTTTTCTATTTGGAAATCTTCAATGTCCCCAAACTGGACAGGCTATGTGTACAGTAACATGTGCAACTTAAAAAATAAAAAACCCAGCAGTTTAAAAACTGCACCCGACTAGGCAAATCCTAAAGGGCAGAGTTTCTAAAGCCACTTGTCCAGGTGCCAGGGGTTGTAGTCCCTGCAGTCTCTAGTGCAACGGCCTTGCGTGAAACTCAGCAAGTGACTCTGGCCCTTTGGAAAGCTGTGTTCGTTCTTTCACTAGAGTAAGCCTAGAAAGGCTTTAACATCATGCCTTAAGTTCAAAATCTTCTTTCTGTTCCAGGCTTTCAAGCAAAACTCTCTAAAGTGCTTTCTTCATTTCCAATGCCATTTCTTCAAAAGTTCTTTATTGGCACTCAGAACTGGCAGCAGTGTGTGGACAGAGTATGGATGTGGATCTGTCCACTTGTGTGGCAATCTAAAATGGTATTATTTATCAGGTATGAATAATTGAGGTTTGCCAACACCTTCAGAGCATTTAATGGAGCTGCCTTTAATGCCAGTCCCACAGGCTGGTATCGACATTTGGCTGGTTCATAGATAAGGAAACAGAGGGAGAGAAGCTTAGTAACTTATCTTAATTCCCAGGTGATGGGGGTTAGGTAACACCTGGCAACACAACTCCAAAGCTTGCTTTTGGCCACTAGAGAAATGGACAGATGGTCAGACACAGGTTCTGGTATATGTATGAGTAAGTGTATACAGACATGAGAGAGCTACTGATATTCAAATTGCATCCACAAACTTGGTGATGCTCAACCTCATTACCAAAAATATCCAACATAATGACAGAAACTTTGCTTAATGATATATTCTTGGAGTGTCAGAGGCACTGGTCTCAGAAATGCTTTGTTGAACATGGACTCTGCCTATTTAAAGTACCTGCATAAAAGCAGGTGAGGACCCACTGAACCAGGCAGGACTCCTGTGTCTTAATAATCACACCAAAGAGAGGCTCATAGACAGACAAACACACACATATGCAAGTATGCTTACTTCTCTCCTACTTTTTTAAGCAATGGGTGTGGTAAGGTAGAACCCAAAATCAGAAAGGTTCAGTAACCTGCCCACATTCACAGAATAATTGAGACCAGCTCTCCTGATGCAGAGAGCTTTCTTTTTAACTACACTGTCTTCTGAAATCTGAAATAAAAAATTTTAAATGTTTATTTCCAGCTTTTATTCAGCCATTTGGTTTAACTGTAAAAACCAAAGCCTACGAACTAGAGAGAGACCAACTTATCAGAAGAACCTGAAAATCTCAGACACGGCCACTGAAAAGTTCTTCTCAAGCCCTGGCTGGTGTGGCTCAGCGTGGGCATGAGAACCCAAGGGTCACCCATTCGATTCCCAACCTAGAGCCCACGCCTGGGGTCTAGTCCTCAGCTGGGGGCAGGGGGTCAGGTGACAGGCAACCATACATCGATGTTTCTCTCCCTCTCTAAAAGTAAATAAATAAAATATTCAACAAAACAAAATTCTTCTCAAAAGCCAAACAATTTGGGAGTCATCTTTAAGGTTTTATCTGTGTTTAAAGTCACTGCTTGGAAAGCCACTCCCAGTTATTGGCACCATGCATAATATGGAGGTGAAAGTCTCAGAAGTGACCACTTTCTGCCCATGAATATTGTGCAGGGGAATTCACAAAGTTCTTTCAGAAAATCAGCTTCCCAGGTGATCTCCTAGCCAGGAGAAAACCACCCCACTGACAAGAACACCGAAAAGAAAAGGTAGAAAAGTAGTCAGACACATATTGCGTAGGAGTTTCACCTTTGGCCAGATCAAAGTCCAGTATTATTGTATAGCCAATACTTTCTAAACCAAAATTTTACAAAAGCAAACCTCTCTTTTATTACCCCCACCCTTTAAGTCCTCTCTGTCTCCTCTACTTTTCCAGACTAATTCTTATTTCCAAGCTAATTCCCTGAGTCAGGGGACGCGGCGGGAATGGCGGGGGAGGCCAGGAAGTGTAGGGAGAAGACAACAGGGAATGAGGAGTGGGGATCCCTCAGGGAGAGGATACTAGGAAAGGGTCGGCAGGGAGAGGGTGCTTGGGGTGGAGGGGGCGGGGGAGAGCGCAGAGTACAGGCGCCCAGGAGGAACGGGTGGGGAGGGGCTAGCGAGGGAGAGAACTCTCGTAGCCGCAGCCAGAAGTGCAGGAAAAGAGCAGCAAGCCGACGGGACGCAGGCAAAGGGAGCCGGGCCCGGGCGCAGAAAGGGGCGCGGGTCCGAGGCTGGTTACCGTTGCACGTAGTGAACGAGGAACATAGCTAGCAGGATGCGGTTGGGCCACCAGCGTAGGCGCTCGGCAGGTGTGCCAGCACACAGGAAGAGCGGCACAGCCAACGAGGGCAGCTCCTGCAACGCCCAGGCGGTGGGCGCTGTCAGTCGCCAGGCTGAGTGCTGCGACGCATAACGCCCGTAGGGCGAGCCCACCAGCTTGAGCAGCACGAAGGTCAGGATGCCTAGGGCGCACTCCAGGTAGGAGAGCGTGTCCAGCAGGGACTGCTCCGCCAGCTCCATTGCGGAGGACCGCAGGCGCGCCCCATCGCCCGGTGGCCCTGGCGTGCCATATATATCGGGCAGAGGTGAGAGGGCGAGAGGCGCGGTTGCCAGAGTCAGGCGAGGGCGGCCTGCGCTCCAGTACTGATCCGTCCTTTTGGTGCGGTTCTGAGACAGCAATTAAGTCTCTCGGACGAGTTGAACCAGTCACTACCGCCAGCGACTCAGCCAAGGGCGCGGCGGGAGGCCGGTCTGCAGTTCTTCCACTCCACCCTCGCAGCGGAACCCCACCCCGGCGCTGCCTCGCCCTCCCCCTTCTGCGCATGCGCGATCGCAGGTTGTCCCCGGAGCTGCCTGAAGCCGTGTGAGAAACCTGGACAGTCCACGCGGAGACGCCTCTGTGACTGCTTTCTGTTGCCACTTGTCCACTCAGGTTGTCAGCGGATCCCATTGGTCGTTGTTTTCTGGGAGTATCGGTCGCGGTGCTTTTGACTTGCTTCTTTCAGGTCCTTACAGGCCCGGGAGAGACGGAGGCGCGGACCTACGGGGACCTCGAGCAGCAGCACGGAAGTGCGCGCAGCCAGAGGTGGCGTGTCGGTGGTGGTGGCGGGCGGCGTGCACAACCTCGTGGACCATGGGGCGGCGGGCGCGGGGCCGGCGGCTCCAGCAGCAGCAACAGCGGCGGCCCGAGGACTCGGAGGATGGAGCCGAGGGCTTCGGGAAGCGTAATAATACGGTAGGAGCTGGAGCAAGGGCGGGCTGGCTCCCCGAGAGGGCCTCCCGGACCCCGAGACCTGCGGGCGGTGAGGGGCAGCTCCTTGAGTCCTGAGCAGATTCCCTTTTTGTTTCTCAGGGCTGGGAGGGCGGGTACCCGGAGATCGTCAAGGAGAACAAGCTCTTTGAGCACTACTATCAGGAGCTCAAGATTGTACCGGAGGGCGAGTGGGACCAATTCATGGATGCGCTCAGGGAGCCCCTCCCGGCCACTTTAAGAATTACTGGTTATAAAAGGTAAGAGGCCTTGCATGTATTTTCTGTAGAGTTGAGAGTAACGAGTGTGTTTTGCCTCAGAGGTGTTACAGTGCTAGAGAACCGCAGCAAGTCAGCGGTGTGCATCCTAGAGCCTGGGAATGTACAGGAGGGAGCACAGGGTCCAGTGGAATAGGTCAGTGGGAAGCTAGAATAAATGAAAACACAGTCTGAGAAAGGGTGGGTGGGTCCTCGAGGACGCTTACCCTTTGGAACACATGAAAATTTGTGACATTACCGAGTTTGGGTAAAGCGTCTGGTTCTCTCTTTTTGTACATTTGTAGTTATGTCTTTCTGAGATGAATTGCAAGTAAAAATGGAACTGGAGTTCCATTTTTATTCCAGGAATATTTAGAAGGGAAGGAATTCAGTAATGTTGCATTAGTTTAGCATCCTTTGGTGATTAAACAGAATTGTGTAAGCTTTGAAAGAAGAGTAAAAAGGCAGTGATTAAAGAATGTTTTCTCTCCATGTAAATATGGTTTTAGTTTTAAATCTCTTAAATCTTAACTTCGCAAAAAGATAAGCTATTAGTAGCCTTTTGGGTTGTTTTGAAACTTACTTATTTTTTCTAATAGCCATGCAAAAGAAATTTTACATTGCTTAAAGAACAAGTATTTCAAGGAATTGGAGAACCTGGAGGTGGACGGTCAGAAAGTTGAAGTTCCACAACCCCTGAGCTGGTAGGTACAAGGCATCATGTTGTTGGATGCGTCTCTGGAATTTTAATTTTTTGTCACTTGAATGTCCCCCTTAGTAATGCATGTTATTAGCACAAAAGAGTCTGAACGTACTTCTGAGACATCTTCATGTTTTTTACCCAATGATTACTTTACACCGGTGTGCAAGTTTTCATGTATGATTTGCAGCTCTCTGTGGCTGAGTCATTGAGTTCAATTAATGTTTCCCAGTCCATTTAACCCCTTTGCTGCTTTGACGTTACCACTTTTACCATTTCCATTTAAGCCTCCTGTTTTCTCATGTCAAAACTTGCTGAGTGGCTTCCCTACTTTCAGAAAAATGACTTAACCTAGCAAATGTGCAACAGACCGCTCCAGCTGATTCTGTCTTTGCGGTCTCTGGTGCCCCAGCACACTCCTGCCCTACTTACTAAGTAACCTCCCCCCCTTTTTTTTCACCTGTTCTGTAGGTTACTTGTTTCACTGCCCAGTTCAACTCTTAGTTGCCTAAGATGATCTCCTATGTTGACAACCTAATTTTTGGTCTTGTCTTGTAAAGACTTGAGTACTCAAGCACAAACCATAGATAGAGCCAAACCCTGGGGAGTCATTAAAATAAATTGTTACAGTTCTACATTTTAGACTGTCAACTTTGAGGCACTTAATATTCTCATAAAACAAAACAAAAAACTTAAATGATTGCTATAAAAAGGTGAACTTAGCTGACATTATCTGACAACTTTGGAGGTTTTGACTGTTCAAGTGAATGATGTTATTTTTTCTTTTTAGATACCCTCCAGGGTCAGGTTTTCATTAATCATGAGCTGTAGATATGCTGGATTTTCTTTCTTTCATTGCCATTTGGAATTTCAGCGTCCACATCACAGATCTGCACAGCATACACATTTTGAATGAATGATGAATGGCCACTGCTAAAGTCAGTATAAAGCTGAGGTTGATTGGAGAATAAAAGCGAATCACTGTCTAATAATAGCCAGCCGTTCTCTTCATATTATTGTTTGCTTTAATTTTCTGAACACAACAACTGAAGTGTGTGAACAACATATTGTATAAGGTGTGAGTTCCTAATACTTAGTTTTTTTTCATTACTAGTGATAACTGCATGACAGTTTCACTGCATAAATATTTATTTAATCAAATTCTCTGATCAGGTGTGGGATACCATACATCTCAGCAGGTAAAGCAGAAACTTACCAAGATGTTTGATGGTTTTCTGTATTGCTCATAATGCAGAAATATATAATCTTCTTAACCTTTTGGTACATAGTGAAATAAAATTTTTTAGTGTGTGGGAATCCTGCTTTCTAGAAGGATTTTAAATATAGGACTTACATCTTGTGTGGATTTCTTTTTTTTTTCTTAGTCTCAGGACTATAAGAAATTTTTCTAAAGAGTTTCTATGAAAGTTACTTAGACGGTTGTAGAGAACACACCTATTATTTTTGTTCTTTTTAATGTGTGGATTGAAGATGATTTTTCCTTGGATATTGTATGTACTTATTAGACTGTTTTCCCCTTAAGAAGTTTTGAGGTGTAATGGTGACAGTGGTGCTTTAAATTTATCCTCAACATCAAAACAGGCTTTTAGATAGGACTTCAGAGTCTCGTGAACTAAATTTGAATTATGTAAGTAAAAATTAAGTATAGTTCTTTGGGACTATTTTGTTGTTAAAATCTAAGACTTTAATAAATATTTGTTGGCTCAGAAAAGTTGTTTCTAAAGCTGTATTAGAAACATTTTATTATTTAACAGCCTGTTTTTGTATTTAATTATTTGTACATTTTAAAATATTCTCTTTCATAAGATTAACAGTTTTCACAATCATAATTACTTAGAGTAGAATTTTGGTCTTGTTATAATAAATTTACATTTTTACCTATTAGAAATTCAATTTATAAGGTGCTTAAGGAAATACTTGTTCAAGTTATATCTAAACCGCTTATTATATTTGAAAATAAGCAGTGGTGTGCAGAATTCAAATTCATGGTGTTGGTGATTTGGTGATTTGGTACATTGATAAAACATCTGTCATTGATCACAGGTATTTCAGTCTTGCCAGAAGTTATACAGAACTAATGTTTCAGGTATTCAACTTGGTGAGGGTTGCACGGGGTGGCAGATTTTGTGGAATAGTACACAGCTAAAGCCAAATTTGAATGTTTCCCTACCATTTCATCTCTAATGAGACCACAGAGAATATTTAAAATTAAAGTATTTTTTTAATTGCCTGATAAGTATGATTGTGTTTTGATTTTATATTTTTGAAGCAGGTTGAGTGTTAAAGAAGGAAACGGTCATAGACCCAAAGTGCTGGGGGCATTTGGAGGTGGCCGTGAACAGATTTAGCTAGTATAATTTTTAACTTCTTTCTTTGGTAGAGAGAACTCTTAGTATCTTAATGGTTGAGGTTGTTTTCGTCAAATAATCACTCAATGTTTCAAAGCAGTTGAATGTATTCTTTTTCAGACTTTCTGGTTTCATTTTCATGGCTGTTACCTGAGCTGTATTTGATGCATGGAAACATTGTGACCTTTGCATTGTTAAATTGAGCTCATTATTGTCCCTGGGACTTAATAAAAGTAATAAAATGGGAATAAGATTTTACCACTGAATGCCATGTTATGCTCAGGATGGCACTGGGTGAATTGAACATGGTACAATCAGTGTGTCATCAGCGTTCTGACTTATGCAGTTGGTCATCAGTGGACAGATGCAAGCTGAGTTAAAAAATAACAATTCCTGATCGGTGACGTTATCATTTATAGAAATTTCAAATACACATATTTATGAAGATGTTTTGTTCTTAGCTCTGAATAAGTAACAAGATAGGAGTTCGAATTAATGTATTAGTAATTTCCAAGGATTTTTGATATATAAAACATTTTAGTGCATTATTAGACTGGCTTGCTTTAAAAATAGGGAAAAATGTAATAACAAAATTATAATAAATTGTCAAATATTTTGATGCCTGCCCTACTATATTTTGATTTCTATGTGATATGCACTTCTTTAAATTTAAGAAACTTGTTATGTCTTTTTTCTGATGACCTTTAAACTGTTAACTTAGCATACAGAGTGAAGAGCAGAGAATTCCACTTTTTCATCAGCTCTTAAACATGCGTTGTCGTGGCTTTACTGTGCTCTCACGTGCCCATGTGTCCTGTGACCCCTGAGGCCCTCTGGTTTCTGCCTGGGCCATGATCCAGTTACTTAGAACCATGTTCTCGTGTCCTGGGGGGACATCACACAGTGTTGGCTGAGTGCTGGAGAGGATTATGGATGAACAAGCAAAAAAAATTGGGTGTTTCATTGGCTGTATGATCTGGAGCACTTTAATGTATACAGTCCATAAACGTTTTGCTTTCTTTTTGGTCAGGTATCCTGAAGAACTTGCCTGGCACACAAATTTGAGCCGAAAAATCTTGAGAAAGTCTCCACAATTGGAAAAGTTTCACCAGTTTCTGGTTAGCGAAACGGAATCTGTGAGTAGAGTTCTTTAGGCAAATTTATCTAGAGGATAAATTTAAGACAGTTTAGTTAAAGCTTTAAATACCCATTAGTGTCATAGTTATATTTTTAACCATGCTTGTCACTGGGAACAATTAAGTAGGTAAAGCATGTAAGAAAGACTCGTTTAACTGTATATTCCACCTGTAATTTGTGATTATATAGCTATTGGTTGGTTTTACTAACCATGAGTTTTAATAGCGGTATTATCACAGCTGTCAGTTTGGTTGTGTCTTGCTACTCCTGAGCTCGGGTGGCTGCGGAACTGAGGTGCACACGGCATCCTCAGGCAGCGTGCTACTCGGGAGACAGCCACTCAGTCCAGTCCCTCCTCTTTCTTAGGTACACGTGCCAGGTGCTTGTGCTGAGAAAGTCTCATGTTTTTATGGCTGTGTTACTTATTTTACTAAAACTGAGACTTTTAAACTCACTTTTTATCATTTGTTTTTTTCTTGGTCCTGTCTATACTCCACCTTTGCCATAACAAATGTATATACATAACAATAGTAACCGGAAAAACAACCTAAATAGGACAGCTTTGGTTCTTCTAGAATGACACTATCTTCACCCTCTTGGTTTCTATGCCATCCCAGATTCCTGATTACAGAGAACGTTTATCATTATGGTCACTGAACTTTTTACCTTTGGCATCAAACTTTTCCTGACAAAATAGCTATTTTTCTCATGCAATACATGATTTAAATAAATTCTCATGAACTTCGGATATTGTAAGCTTTGCTGTTCCTTTTTATTCTTCTGGAATTCTTAGCAGTCTCACATTTTCAATCAGAAGTTCTCCCTTCCTGTTTTCTAATCTAGCCAAGGAAATATCTGTGTGTCAACAGATGATATTATTTCTTTTTCCCCTTCTGTATTCTCTCAACAGAGTTAACATGGTTTTCATGTTTTTTTGCCCCTGAAGCCACAGCCAGTGTAGAAAAAATCTTCATTTCACCCAGTTCTAACCCTGCCTTGACTCACAGCAGTTCCCTACCATTGTGGCTTGGTGCTCATTTAGGTAACCCGGTGAACTGGTCTGCTGTTTGCCTGGCTTTCCACCCCACCTCCTATTATTAGGAATATACAGAATTGAGTGCTGCCCCATTTATGATTCTGTACGGGGCCCATACTAAGAAGGGTTCTCTGACTCAGTTTCCATTGAGAAGCAAGGTCAGATAAAGATCATCAAACTGCCAAAGGCAAGTTAAGTTACAACTTGTTACAAGCAGAGGGTTTGCAGAGAATGGAGTGATAACGGGTGGATAGGTTGTAAAGAGCCAGATTTTAGCAGCTTAGAAAGGTGGAGGTTATGGGAGTTCAATGTTGGTACAGGAGAACAGTCCAGTCTTTGATAAGTCAGCAGGATAAGATACTCTCTGGATTATTTAAAGCTGACTGTCAAACCTCTTTAGGATGTGTTTAGGAAATAAGACTAGTTGCCAGGATGTCTGTAGTCAAGGACCACTCTAATTAGAGTTTCCCACTCTAATGCTTTAATTGAAAACTAGGGTGAAAACAGAAGGCAGGCTTATCAGAATGGCAAAGCTTGGAGTTAGTGTGCCTAGCGAGTTGGTCAAGAGTCAGTCTTCACAGACTCATTGCTGGCCTGAAACCTGTAGGATGAAAATGAGCAGGTATGAGCGTACAAGTCTGTGTTTAGACTGATAGGCAGATGCATAGCATGAGTGATGGTCATTCAACTACAAAAGGCCCTTGTTGCATTGGGGCCGAAGCCTCCTGGTAGCTAGCGTTTTGTAGCCAGCCCCCTCCTTGTAAACGTTCAGTCTTTGGGCTGTTAAGATAGAGTTGTGATTGAAGCAAGGGCTGGATTTCATCAAGAAACTTTTGTTTGAGCAAAATATAACCAGAGACACTGAAGTAGAGAGCAGGCTGACAGTGACCAGAGGGGAGAGGAGAGGGAATTTCAGGGGAAAAGGAGAAGGGTTTGCAGGAATAAGTATAAAGGACACATGGCCCAAAACTGGGGACAGGGGTGGAAATGGGAGGAAAGTGGGGAGGGCTGGGGGGGGTGGGCTGAGATGGGAGTAAAAAACAGAAAACTGTACTTGAACAAAAATTAAAATAAAAAAATTAAAAAACCCTTTTGTTTGAATCTGAACAGGTGTACATCTTAACAGATGCCCTGGCCCACTAGTGGAGATCTTGAGGACAGTTTAGTGAGGAATTTTAGATAGTTTATCTTGGAGAAGGAAAGAGGGGGGCAGTTGTTGAAGTCTCCGTCTTTGTTGGAGGCAGTTATCAGGAATAGAAAGCAGACGTGGGCTGTACCTGAAAATGAGAACTGAGAAATAGAAGTTACAGTTTTAGCTGAGAGGGAAAAGCTTGCTAACTATGAGTTTGTCCTGTGCTCCCTTTGATTGCTCCCATTGCTGAAGGTATTTAAGTGGCATTGTCTGCCTTTGAGACATGCTCATCCAGCTGCTAAATGTTCTGAGGGCGGGGAGTAGGGGCTGTGTCCCCTTTTATGAAAGTTTAAAATTCAGTGTTTTTCTAACAGTGGGTTTTGGTGTGAATGCTCATCTTCGTCCTCACTTAGCCTTCTGGTAGTGACCATTTATCCAGTAGTATGAAAATGTATCCTAAAATGTTTCGGTGAGAGTGCCAACTCTTGTTCTGTGTATGATTATGTGATATTTTTCTGTTGCTTTGAAATTTTCTGCCTTTTCAGTGTTATCTTTGACATTTTTCAAATTTTATTTTTCAAGGGGAATATCAGTCGGCAAGAAGCTGTTAGTATGATTCCACCATTGTTGCTTAATGCTCAACCTCACCATAAGGTATTGTGTGTTGTACAGAACATTGTGGGCAGGGTGCTGCCTGTGTGTGTTGTGCTGTTGTTTTGCAACCTTTTTTCCTTAATAAAATGAATTTTCTCTGTCACTTTGGATAAAGTAGGAAGGGATATATTTCACTCTTGGGGTTTTTTATTGTTTTGCATTTTTGTCCTATTTAATTTTTATAAATCACTTAATTTTCTTTTAAAATTTGTTTCTTAATTTGCTTACTTATTATACAGATTATCTTCAGTGGTCTCAGTCGACTAAATCAGATTGAAAATTATAGCGAACATGTACTGAGAGGTGGTTACATGCCAAAACATTGTTCTGCACTGTTTTTATGAATTAATTCATTTTATTGTCCACATATCTCTGGAGGCAGGGTGGATGCTGCCACTGCCCCCAGATGAGGAAAGGAGACGAGGAAAAGTCGAAGTGAATGGCCCAAGGTCACAGGGACTAGTCAGTCATTGGCCAAGCTGAGGTTCGAGTTCAGGTAGCTCTCTCCTTAGCAGAATGTTGCACCGCTCGTGCATTTCGTATCTTTACTCATTCATTTCTAAGTGTATTGCCCTTGCTGGTTTCTAGTGCCATCTGTTCCTGTTCCCTGTGGAGAGAGTATCTTTATCACTGTGACTTGGGGGCATTTTATGTTATAAGCTCCCTATCAGTTAAATACATCTAGAATCATTCTGTAAAGAAATATATTTAGGTCTTTGAATAGTAATCAAAATGCTAGAAGGACTTGAACTTTTAAATGTAGATTGTTTGATTTCTTAAAGTCTCAAACATTTTCTTGCTTTTTAACAGATCTTAGATATGTGTGCAGCACCTGGATCAAAGACCACACAATTAATTGAAATGCTGCATGCCGACATGAGTGTCCCTTTTCCAGGTGTGCTTTGGACTGGGGGTTTGGAGGTAGAAATGCTACTTTGGTGGGTTGTAGACAGGAAAAGAATAGAACATTGCCCGAAGCCTCCCTGAAAGGAAAATAGGACATTTTCACACCACCATCAATGATTAGTTTTCGAACCAGCCTTTAGTCTGGAATTAGGTTAAGAGCTACTGTCCAACTACCCAGGTTCATATCCCACCACCATATTTATGAAGCGAGTTAGGTGACATACTAGTCATCACGTATGAAATGAGCCATCAGTCCTGAACTGGAGGATGTGATACGAGATTGCAAAGTGCTCAGGAAATGGAAACTATTATAGTATCACTGATGTTCCTTTGTAGGGATTTTATAAAGATACAAAAATGCTGTTCATAGTGTTTGTTAGTTTTACTATTTTTATGTACCTTTATCTCCTTTACTTCCATTAAGGGTGATATTGATCATAGAATGTTACCAGGCATATTTACCATTTTGCTGGAGAGAGGAAGCATAGTGAGAGCAGGTGGCACCCAGGAAAGTTTCCACCGGGTTCTTAGCTGTGGTTCAGCTCAGCACCTCCCAGGGAATATTCAGGAGCATTAGACCCCACCCTTGGAGTCTGATTCACAGAGCCGAGAATGGCGCTCCAGCACGAATGGCGTTTTAAACATTTGTCAGGTGATTCTGTTTTCTACACCTTTCTGTCTGCCCTCCTTTTTTAGTTAATAGTTACTAATAGGAAAGACATTTTTGGCACAATAACTGATACAAAGTAAATAATTGTTGAACAAATGAATCCTGAAGTTTCAGAATTTTTAGTGACCATGAAATCATGCTGAGCCACTGGGTTTCTTTTTTTTGGATCACTTAATATAGTCCTAACCAGTCTTGTACTCAGAAGTTTGGTGGGGCCACTTCTCACATGCCAACCTACAGGTCATGTATTTCAGGAGTTTACTTGTGCTGTTTGTCACCCCACACTGCAATTTTATGTTCCTAGAGGGATTCGTCATCGCGAATGACGTGGACAACAAGCGCTGCTATCTGCTTGTTCATCAGGCCAAGAGGTTGAGTAGTCCCTGCATCATGGTGGTCAACCACGATGCATCCAGCATACCGAGACTCATGGTAGATGTGAATGGAAGGAAAGAGGTTCTCTTCTACGATCGTATCTTGTGTGATGTCCCTTGCAGGTATTTATTTTATCAAGAAGCCAGAAAGCCCAGAATGCACTAAGGAATTAAGTCACATACAGACTGAAATGAAGGTGCACGTGAACACACAGTGTGGTACATATGATCCTTGTGTGAACTGATGCGAAGAGAGACATTGTGACCTAAGGCGGAAGGCAGACACAGAATTTAGTGGTGCAGCAGTCTGAGCATGTGGAGCACAGATAAAGGAGTGGTTTGCTAGTCTGAAAAGAGATGAAGAAAATCCCTGAGAGGAAAGAAGCATCATAAACTCACATAGTTTAAGATGTGGTCACTTAGCATGATTTGTTCATCCAGGTGTTTTATGTTTGTACTTCATTGAGTCATCAAATAATCGTGTCGGGTTTTCATTTTGAGCCTTACATTGTTTAGCACAGTGTAGGAGTTCAGACTTCAGGGAAATTCATGTTAGAGTTTGCCTTTAAGAGAATTTTATGACAAAACTGAGTGAGTTTTTCCAAAAAGATATGAATCAAACAAACTAAAGGTGGTCATCGGGTTCCCCTGAGGCGGTGACATAGGTAATGGTCACAAGGGTATGTTTAATTAATACCTTTTCAACACATGAGTTTGGTGAGACTAGAATACAAAAAATTCCACAAGATCTGGTTAGCGCTGAGCAGTGCTTAACTAGGATACATCCGTATTAAATTCACCGTGTTTAAACAAGTGGCAGATTTACCCCTAGGAGCAGGACTCTGTAGCCGGTAGTACTGGATATGGCTGAGTTTTTAAATGCCTGGAAAAATTCCCTTTTAAAGTAAAATTTAAAATCGATCATGAAGTGCATTCCTTCTGGGATACAATTTTCTAATTTTCCTTTGGATCAGATGTTTTCCTACTCTTCATCTTTTGATCAGAAGTGTAACTTATTTTTTGTTTCAATATTGTGGGAATAAAGTGCCCTTATAATCAATAAGTTGTAAGCTGAAAAAAAATCCCTAAAATTATGGCAGACTTTTAAGCCACCACCATACAAGTGAGGGACGTCATTTGATAGCTGTTATATGTCATAGGACATTTCCATCCTGCAGACCCTGCATCTCATGTGATGAGACCACAAGAAGAATTAAACTTTACAGAGAAAGCAACAGATGCAGGAATTAATGCAGAAAAATTGGGCGGATAAAGTTAGACATGGACAGAAAGATTAATGAATCAAGCCTGTGTTATAAAATTTGTGAAATAATTTTCATTGAATAAAGTAGGGAATCAAAAATGTTTAACTGATACATGGAAAAATCTTGGTAAAGAAATTAATTTGCTATGGAAAGGCCATTATGAGTGTAAGTTTACATATGCATGTAATTCTGATGAAAATACCAGTCTTGATTCACCAGATTCCTAAGTAACAAGACCAAAATGTCATATGTGTATTCCTGGTTCTGTCCTAGAATTGAAAATGAGTTTTGCTAGTATGTCCGTCAAATGGAAGCAGATTACTTTCTCTGTGAGTGTTGAAAGAGGTTTTTATTTTCTTACTGAATTGAAAATTGAAGAGTAATTAAAGAGCTTAATGTACTAGAGTGTCCCCAAAACAAATAGGAAGGTGATTGTAGTTTGTAAGAATTTAGATTGTTTTCTAGTTGGTCTGTATGATAATAATAACAATAGCTGTTTTATAATTTAGCTTGAATGTGACAGATTTGTTAAACTCTGATTCTACCTGTAGAGAGTTTTAAGTTTTTTAATATCTTTCTTTTCAGTGGAGATGGCACTATGAGAAAAAACATTGATGTTTGGAAAAAGTGGACCACCCTAAATAGCTTGCAGCTGCATGGGTAGGTAAAACTTTGTAGCAGACAACTCTGTTTGTCAAGTAGATTGGTCAGGATTTATTGTTGAATCACCTAAATGGGCGCCCAGGTCTTTGACTGACTCTTCAGCATCAGTGAGGGCCACCTTCATGGGAGTTTGCCCAAGTGTCAGATGTAGTTGCTTTTAAAACAAGATTGTACACATATTAGATACATATTGCTTTAAAATGCCTTTTGTAAGAATGAATTTCCTGTCACTTCAAACTTTTTTTTTATGAAATGACCATTTATCTTACTGTCTTACCTGTCTTTTTACTGTCTGTTTTATTCTTTTGTGTTGAATTATTTTGTTCAGTATTTTGATCTCAGATATTTTTTATTGTCTTTTAAAATTTTTTTGAGAATTCTTAAAAGGAGAAAATCTCGTAACTTCTGTCATGACTAATGTGTTACAGTAGTTTTCAGTGCCTGTGGATTTCTTGAGTACCTGTTTTGTACAATTTCGGTGGTATGATCTGTAGAACTTTGTATTTTTTTATTTTAAGTTAAAATTATAGTCTTAAAAGAGCAATGCATGATTAAGTGTAAGTGTATTAATGAATATTCGCCATTAATAACTTCACGAGATTTTACTTCTCTGTTAAATACCACTGTTTTTGTGAAACAAGCATTAGGATTGGAATATATTAAGGGATACAGGTTTTTTGTGGAAAGGAATAGCAAGTATTTGTATAAGTATGGAGGCCTTTTAATAGTGAAATTTGATGTTGAATTCAGTTGTTAATCAGTTCATGCTTTCCTGATGAGATGCTGGGAAAGGTACACAGGACATCCAAACCAGTTTTATATAACTAGGTGTTTTTTTTATTTACATGACACATCTTTTGTAGGTTTATTCTAACTTCACTTAGAACCATCAGGGGGGTTTGTTTGTTTGTTTGTTTGTTCGTTTGTTTGTTTACGGGAATTATGTATTTTACTTAGAGTTGTTTAAGTCTGTCCTAAAAACTTGTAATGAATATGTGACATGGTGCTTCTAACGTGTGTCTGGCTGTGTTGGGTCCCTGACTATGTCCAACCCTTAGCTTACAGCTGCGGATTGCTACTCGGGGTGCTGAGCAGCTAGTGGAGGGCGGTAGGATGGTATATTCTACATGTTCACTGAATCCCATTGAAGATGAAGCAGTCATAGCATCTTTACTGGAAAAAAGTGAAGGTAAGCATGCTGGATTGGTCTTTTAATAAAAGTATGTACTTTTCAAAATCTTCATTGCTGTAGTGCAGTGACTTTCAACTGTTGTGCCCGACTAATTCAGTCAGGGGCACTGACCCTTTTTCCCTTAGATTGTCCAAAAGAATGAAACAGCCAGCACAACAATAGCCATCTGGTAGGAGTGAGTCAGAATTACACCTTTCTTTGTCAGAGGCAAAAAATGTAATTTTTGGTGTGGCATATAATTTTAGTAGTTAATTTATGTGGGTCATGAGATGAAAAAGGTTGAAAATTGCTGCTTTAGACTTTTTCCTGGCTATTTGCTTATAGTTTTAGCCTGTAAACCCTAAAATGAGATATCTTTAATGGAAAATAAGCTTATGTAATGGATCTGTTGTTCTTTCATGAACTGCAAGCTTTTTGCCCACTTTGTTTATTAAGTGTGAACAGTTAGATCCTATCACAATTTTTTAAATGTAAATGTGGTGAAACACACATACCGTTTAACCGTATTTAAATACGCAGTTAGGTAGTGTTAAGTACGTTCACATTGTTGTATAGCCAGTCTTCAGAGTTACTGGTCTTGGAAACTGAAATTCTGAACCCATTAAATGACTCCCTGTTATCCCCTCCCCCTACTGTGTTCCTGTCTCTCTGAGTTTGACCGGTCTAGGTGTCTCGTGGGAGTGGAATCACAGCGTTGGTCTTTTTGTGACCGGCTTACTTCACTTAGCATCATGTCTTCAAGGTTTCTCCACGTTGTAGCAGGTGTCAGTTTCCTTCCTTTCTCAGGCTGAATGGCACTCCATTGTGCATGTAGACCACGTCATGTTTATCCAGTCATCCATCAATGGACACTTGGGTTGCTTCTTCATTAGAATGCTGCTGCTGCCATGGTGTGCAGTAACTTCGAAGCCCTGGTTTCAGTTCTTTGGGGTGACGTGATCATTCTGTTTCAGGACCTACCGTGCTGTTTTCCATAGTGGCTGTCCCATTTTCCCGTTCCACCAGCAGTGCACAAGGGTTCCAGCTGTCTGTGTCCTCGCCAGTACTTGTATTTCCTGTGTTTCTGATAGTATCCATTCTAAAGGGTGTGAGATCTTATAGCGCTGTTCAATGAAATGTTTCGAAACAGCAATTTCCATAATATTTTGATGAAAAGTATTACTTTTTTCTTTCATGTTTTCACTGAAATGATAATCTTTCCCGTCATAGTATCCTTAAAACAAATCATGAAAAATTTCGAACTTCCCAGAGTAGAACACTACCAGATTTACCATGTGAATGTTTGTGAAGTAAGTTAAGGAGACAGATGAGCATTTCCTGAGGTGGTATCCACAACCATCTGGGCTTCCAGTGGCTTTCTCAGTGGTTGGCTGATCTGTAGTGTGTAGTCAGTCCTCATTGTTGTCCTTTAGGTCTGAATTTCATAGGTTTATTTTATTTTTTCTTTACTCATGGCAGTCTACAGAAAGTGCTTTCTGGATGCTTTTTTTTGCGTGGTTATAATGTTCACAGTTTTGGTGGTACTTTATCTCAGAAGGCGTGTGAAAAGAAGGATTATGGGTGATGTAATTGAGTAGTAAATGAACTGGGCGTCCTACTGGGTGATTATTTCCCGCTGGGCAGGTGGGTCTCCAGTCTCGATTTTGCTTTCACAGCCACCGTTCTGCATGCGGTTGTTTGAGATCTCACTGTAGACCCTCCGTCTCAGTGCGTGGTCACGGGCTCCCTGCAGACGTGGCCTCACGGGAGCACAGACGTCTGCTGAGCTTTGTGCCCGCACAGGGTGTGACCCCCACCTGAAAGCACCCGGAGACTTAGCTGGAGGAATGGCGGCCGATGGTGAAGATTCAGTCTGCGAGCACCAGGCCATTGTTGGCAGCTCCTGATCTGTATGCCGGCAGGAAGCACACCGAGTGGTATTTGAGAAAACCAGGTTCTGGAAACACTATTTGGTGTTCACTTTTGAAAGTGGGATTGCTCGGATATACTAGTGGTCAGTTTTTGCCAAAGGGGTCACACTGCTAGATCCCCCCGTGGAGTCTCCTACTGTGTTTCTGTCATTGTCTGTGGGTTCTCGTGGCTTCTCTGGGGTTCTGTTGGGGTTTCCCGTCTGGGAGGCCGTCAGACCCGTACCTGCACCTGCGAGTGGTAGTTCATGTGAAGGCTTCCTGGTCCACCCCACAGCTTGGGTAACACTGCCTCTGTGGACATGTGGTTTTTAAAACCAGGCTGTTGTCCTGATGGGCAGTGTTAGAAACTAACTTGGGCCTAAAACTAAAGGTTTAAAAATTCCCATAGTTTGCTTTAAAATGTTACTTTTTAGTTCTGGGATGCTTGTTAGCCATAAAGGCATGGAAAAGACTGGCATGTGTCTAAAAACCAGGAGCAGACTTCGGAGTTCCAGCCTGGTGTTGCCTCCCAGGGGATTTTGGTCATGGCGTCAGACTTGGCTCATCTCAGGACCCTGCACCTGCAGCTCTTCCTGCTCCAGGAGCTTGAGCAAGCTCCAGTTAGCACTGTAACATGCCCTGTTCAGGTGTGCAGTTCAGTGATGTTTTTGTAGACTTCCCAAACTGCGCAGAGCCCTTGCCACAGTCCAATTTTAGACCATTCTGTTCACCCCAAGCAGAACCCTTCTGCCCTTTGGCAGTTATTCCTTCTTCCCACCCTCACCTGGGAGCCAGGAGTGTGCTTTCAATCTGTGGGTCTTCCCTCCTCAGACATTTCCAATATGTGGAATCATGTAGTATGGATCTTTTGCATCTTCTTTTGTAGGCATGTTGTGGAAAAAGATTTTTATTTTATTTTAATTTTTGGTACACAGGTGCTTTGGAGCTTGCTGATGTGTCTTCTGAATTGCCAGGCCTGAAGTGGATGCCCGGACTCACACAGTGGAAGGTAAAATTTCTGTGAGGACCCTGGTTCATCAGAGCAGGCACAACTTACCTGGATATTGTGAAGCTTTTAAAGCATCCACATTTGGGTAACTTGAATAATACTGCATTTGGTTATGAAGTTTAAAATCAGTGTCAAAAGTATACATATTAAATGGTATGATTATACAAATGTTTTTCTCTGCTAGTGAAACACTTTTTCCTGCCTTTGTTGTCCAATTAGACATCAGCTTTGCTTATTCTCGTTTATATAAGTACACCTTTGCTTTATTTTTTTTATTGGTCGGGATTCAGTCTCCATTTCTAATATGAAAGAAGTAATTTTTTAGTTTTAAACTAGAAACAATCTGAGGCTTTTAAAAAAATTCCCAAGTGGAAAATGCTTTATAAAATAACTGTCCTGTTTTATGGAATTTTTATCTTTGCAAATAGCCTTCTTTTTGGAGAGAAGTGAGAATCGCCATTGATCGTGTTCGAGACCATGTACACTGGCACCCTGTAATCTTTCTTATTAGTGTTGGTGATTTAGAATCTTCTCCTCTTGCCTGGCAGGTGATGACGAAAGATGGACAGTGGTTTGCAGAGTGGGACGAGGTTCCTCACAGCAGACATACCCAGATTCGGCCGACCATGTTCCCACCGAAGGACCCGGAGAAGTTACAGGCAATGCGTCTAGAGCGGTGGTGAGTGTCCGAAACTCTCCGAGTTGGGGGGTGGTGGGGAGGTTGGGCCCTTGGGCACTCCTGCGTGGCCTGGGCTGTGCCCACGGCTGACCTCAGGTATGTGAACTTTTCAGCACATGAGAACTTACCTGTTAGCTGCTGGCATGAAGCCTTTGTGAATAATGAAGGTGGTTAGAACCTAGTTTTAATACACTGGATACTGCATTAACTTTCTACACATCACACATTGGCCATTTCCTGAGTGAGGGCTGTGTGAATACTTACAAGACATGACTTCTCTGTCACAGGTTGGCTTTGTGGTATTTGTCTTAATATTTAATACTAAAAGAATGTATTTTGGATCAGTTAAAAAGTGAGAATTGTGTTTTTTTTAGTCTTAGAATATTACCACATCATCAAAATACTGGAGGGTTCTTTGTGGCAGTATTAGTGAAAAAGTCTTCAATGCCATGGAATAAGCGTCCACCAAAGGTAAACATCTTCCAGAGTACCACAGCATACCATGTGATCTCTTTGTGCATTAAAAGCAGAAGCTGACAGAGGTCAGTGGAACTTTTTTGTGGGGTGGAGGGTGGCTGAACCTGATGGTATGTGTAGGGATTCATTTAAATTTTTGTTTTCCAAACAAAAAGCAGTTTCTTAGATGGGTGATCGGAAAAGGTAGACTTGGGAGAATGCATTTCTTCTACATCTCATACCTAGTTCATTGATAAGAATTGAAAAGACATAAAGACTGTTCTGGGGCTCAAAATTAAAACCTCCCCTGACCTCCCCACACTGGCTCTGAACTCCAGTTCTCTGTGGGTTGGTTCAGATTAGCCTATTTCAGGTTGATGGAACCGGCTAATGTCAAACCTGTCTTCACCTTGGCCTTGAGGGACAGTTGCAGAATTTGTCCAAACCTAGCTGGAAGGAAATGAATAAGCCCTGATCTGTTGTAACAAATCTGAACTCCCACCTGGGTCACTGTAAGGACAGCTGTGAAGCAGAGCAGTTGAGAAAAGAGGGCTGCCTTTTGAAACTCGGCACGAAGTTGTGCTTTAATAAAGTGTGCTGTCCTCATCAAGGTGATGTCGTTTTGTTAGTGTGTACATCAGCCTTCCGTAATCATAGAACATGGCCCGGAGTCACAGTCTGAAGGTCTGTGTTTCTTTCAGATGCATGCTTAAAAATTAGGACAAATAATGCTTCGACTTTGGAGAAATAGTAAGTAAACATTTTCTGGGATATGGCTAATCCCGACATACATATGAGTGTACAGCCTCAAACTGGCCCAGGATTGGCACTGGCTTTTCTGGGCAGTCACCATAGTGTTGGTGTTAGAGAGTGTGTCCCTCAGAGAGCGAAAGTCTCCATGTGGTGTTGACTATAGTTGGTCCCTGACTCCCTGGTCGGGAGCAGAGCCGTGGCTGCTCAGAGCACTGCTAACAGATGGAGCCCCAGACACAGGTGATTTGAGGTTTTTTGCAGCCATATTTAGAAAGTTAAAGAAGAAAAGTAAAAGTTTTTTTTACCCCAGTATATTTAAAATGTTATTTCCATGTAATCAAAATAAGTTGTTGAGATATTTTATATGCTTTCATACCGTTTTAAAAAAACAGTGTCAATTTTACACTCTAGGATATACCTTCACCTATCCAGTCACCTTTGCAGGGTCAGAAAGCACGTGTCTGGTGGCTACTGTACCATACTGCGCAGGTTGAGAGCCAGTTACATACAGGCATGCTTGAGATTCACTTGGCTTTGGGGTTATGTTGATACTTTGTCACATGAGCACCTATGTAAGTGGGTTTTGAACTTTTCCTTAATTTGCCTCCTTTGATGTGGTGTCATGCTTTTTAGAACAACTACATGTTATTTAAGTATTATTGCTGCTCTACTTTTCTATCATTATATCAGTTTGTTATTTTTGTTGAGTAAGTGTATCTTGGTTGCCTCTCCTGCTAGGCCCATTCTGAGATTCTTCGTCTTCAGGATGCTGGAATCTAGTGGAGGTGAAGGCATCTAGACTCTGACCCAGAATTTGAGTCAGGGAACAGCCACATTGACACAGTGCTGCTGGTATTTTGCAGGAGGCAAGATTAAATTATTATGATGGAACAAAGAAAGCTTCCTGGAGAAAGGGACATTTGAGATGGACTCTGAAAAAGAGGGCAGCGTTTCAGGAAGCAGAGAAGGGGATAGGAAAAGATGAGTTCCATAGCTGGCCTTGTCCAGAGGTTTTAGATGGTGGTTTTGTTTTTTGCTGTTTTCTACATTTAAATAAACTGTATTCTTTAGGAGGCAGTGTTGGATATTGTTGATAGCTTTAGACTCTCATAAGCTCAGCCACTTGACAGCTTTGTGAACTGGGAGACATGCTTAACTCTCTGTGCTCAAGTGTCTAATTTGTAAACTCGTTTTCATAGGGTCTGGGAATTACTACTTTCCCAGTAGTAATTACTGGGAAAATTACTTTTACTGGTCTTGGAAGTTCATTAGAAGACATGTAGTTTTAAATAATTTTTATATAAGATTTTATCAGAAGTATATAAAATTTTACTTCTCAAAACCACATTTGTACCATTACCCCAGTTTATTATTCGACTGGTATTTCCTTGGTTCCTGGAGGCATAGTCTTCTAATTTCCACAGCAGTTTCTCTGGGTGCCCTGGAGCTGTGTTACTACTGTCTTTTCCTACCTTGTGCTTATTCCCGTACTTGTCTTTTCAGCCCTCCTTACAATTTTAGGGATGGTGTTGACTCATTTGCATGCCTCATTGTGCAAGAGTGGATGCCAGTAGCATTCAAAGACAAGCTGGCATTGTCCGCCAGCTGTCTTTGTTTTTTATAGGGTTACAGTAGAATTGATTTTAACTTCAAAGAAACAGTGTCCATGAATTCTGTATATAATAGCAAGAATATTTAAAATACTGCCTTTGAAAAATTCTGTTGTCTTTCATATATTAAATGCTATAGGAAATTTGTTAAGATTGATTTTGTGAGCTCAGTGTTCTCATTTTATTTTATTTTATTTTTTTGTAGCAGTGCAAAGCAGCTTATGCTTTGAGTGTAAATGGACTTGTTATTCCCTCTGACAGCTGCAGGGGGAGTCTGCAAAGCCGAGAGACCCTGTGCAGTCCAGCCCTGCAGGTCCCACGGAAGAGAAAGCTGCAAGTCCCTCAGAGCTAGAAAGGAAGCTGGTTACTGGAATTGGTGATGCCGAAACAATAGAAAGGACTGAGGATTTAGAGAAAAATGGAAATAAGAAAGATGGCGTGTGTGGGTAAGAAGCACGGTTACATCTTGAGCATAACAACATTCTAGTGTCTTCCCAACGGTGCAGATGGACTGGGACCCAGAGCCTTTCCTGCAGTGGTTTTCCAGCAGGCAGTGTGAAGACACCTTTCGCTGGCAAAGTACTCGGTTCAGGGTTAATGAACTTGCGGTGCCAGTGCTGCGCTCTGTTGTCTGAAGAGAGAGATTGAAGGCCTGAAGAGGCTACATGTATTAAAAACGCCGTGATGCCCAGAGTTGGGGTGAGGGTTGAGTGGGCAGGGAAGAGCATACTGTGGGTAATTAGCAGTGTTACTCACATTCCAGACTGATTGATTCCATCCCAATTCCTTCTTAGTCCTCCTCCATCAAAGAAAATGAAGTTATTTGGATTTAAAGAAGATCCATTTGTGTTTATCCCTGAAGATGACCCTTTATTTCCACCTATTCAGTAAGGATTAATTCAACCCTTTTTAATTCTTTGAAGGAATTTCCTGTAGGGTTATAAAAACATAACTGGTCACATTTAACCATAGTTTTTTATTTAGCTCTGTATAGCATTTTTCCTCTTTAATTGCATGTTAGAGCTGGGTGCAACTTTAGAGTGTGTTTTCTGAACCCTTCAATTTAAAGTGAGCAGTAATCAGACCAAATAAGCTGCACAAAGATAAAGACATTGGTAAAGAGGGGGAACAGCTCTGGACCCTGAATATAACTAAGTTGAGTTACAAGATAAATGGACAGAGCTGTGTTACTCAGTTCTGGTTTAAGAAATGAGAAGTAAGGGGTCTGGGCGAGACCTTAATTGGGAATCTCCAGGCAGAACAGAGTCCAGTCTTATGTTCTCTTTCTTATTCATTAAAGCTTTGTTTGTATTCATCATAGTGGGCGCTTAACATTGTCTTGTGGATAACTAGCTCTTTAAATATGTTTGTAAACCTGCCTCTTCAAACATCTCTAAGGCAGTGTTCTCAAGTCCTTGTCCACGGAGTCGCCATTGAGGGGGAGAAATTGCCCGTGTTAGTGTAGGCCCCTGATCTGGTTGTGCCTGCAGTGAACAGTGCTGGAGGTTTCATGTGAACTACACTGAGCCTTAGAGTTCGAGTGCCCTTCAACCATACTGAGTTTGAGAAACGTAGTTCTGTAGGAAAGAATAGGGTGCTTAAAGACAGTCTGTTAAGTTTTGAACTGTATGTTCTCTTATAAACACCTTGGTCCTATTTATAGGAAATTTTATGCTCTAGATCCTTCATTCCCAAGGATGAATTTATTAACTCGAACTACAGAAGGGAAGAAAAGGCAACTCTACATGGTTTCCAAGGAGCTGAGAAACGTGCTGCTGAACAATAGTGAGAGGATGAAGGTATAGGACATAGTTGGGGACTAATGCATAATAGAGGGCCCCTGCTCAGGTTTCCCTGGAAGAAACAGATCCTGGGACTGGCTCTTCCGTGTCTAGTGTGGGCTGAGGTCCCTGAGCCTGCTGTGAGCTGTCAGAGCCCTTAGCAGGCCCATGCTGTGTGGCCTGTGTCCCTTCTGTTCTGATGTCTCTCCCACTATTTGTATCATAGGAGAAAGGTGCTGTGGGTTTGGAGGCGTTGGGTGCTGCTGCTGTGGCCCAGTGTTATTTGTCATTTCCGTTTGCTATACAGTTTTTCTATTTTAAGGCTCTGTTTTCATTTGCTTTATTGTTTTCCCAACTTGTTTTTCCTTTTGCCTGTGTTACCTGGAGGTCCATGAGGTCAGAGTATTTTCCTGACCGTACTAGAACATTATCTCCATATTGGGTGTCCACAGTGGTTTCCTGGGCAACAGCATCCTTGCTCCTGACGGTCTGTGGAATGTGCCGGCATATTATTGTATTTTCAAAGATTGCTGGTTTTGAGTTATTAGTATAAGCCACATCGACCAAAGCCATTTGAAAAGAGGATCAGTTGGGCTTTGAGAACTGCTGTTAACCCCAGTTTTAGTCAGGTGACTTTTCAGAGGTTTTCCATTTCTCTTTTCCTTCTTTTCATCAGTTACAGCTCAGCCTCCTCAAAGTAGAAGGGATTATTTTAATTGCTTATCCTGACTTTATTTTTTTCCTTATAGGTTATTAACACTGGGATAAAAGTCTGGTGTCGAAACAACAGCGGAGAAGAGTTTGACTGTGCATTCCGGTTGGCACAAGAGGTAGTTTGGGGAACACACTTGGATAGCACTATCCACAAATAAATGGGAGGCAGCTGGTCACAAGTAGAAGCGTCCGAACCAGCCCAAGAGGTCTGGATGGCTCAGAGCTGGACGGGCACCTACCAGCCCTTTGACCCTCACCTTTGTTGAGTTCTCCGAGGCTGATTTTTCTGCTCGGGGAGTATTTGCTTACAGATTGTTATAGATTCCAGGCAGGGTGCTGCCCCCGCCCAGGGGCTGTGGTTGGGTGAGGGCTGGATATGGGGATTGGAAAGGCCCTAAGGGCAGGGCTCTCATTTTACTATTTGTAACTGTGACCTTTCTTTGTCCCCACAGGGAATCTATACATTGTATCCATTTATTAATTCAAGAATTATCAGTGTATCATTGGAAGATGTTAAAATTCTACTAACCCAGGAAAATCCATTTTTTAGAAAACTTAGTAATGAGACTTACAGCCAAGCCAAGGACCTGGGTAAGCAGTTTGACTTGCATAGAGGCGTAACTTGTTCTTACAGAGATAGTGCAGCTGCGGATGTTCCCTCTTACAGGATCTTTCTCAATCTTATGTTAGTACCTCATGGCTTTCTTTTATTGACTGTCAGTTTCCAGAGGGTTTTGTGGAGACATAAATTATGTCTCAGTGTTTTTGAGAGTCAGATGCACTCCTAGGGTTGTCCTACTACCCAGATCCTGGTAGAGACCCTGTATCTCCCAGCTGCCACCAGTGGTCAGCAGGTGTTAGGACCTGGCCAGCCAACCAGTCAAGAGCTCCATTTCCTCTGTCCACCACTGAGCAGCCAGCCAGGGAAGGGACTTGTGTGGATGTAAAGAAAGCGAGGGGCTTGTGTCTGCTTGCGTTACAAGGTGCAGGACACCAGCTAGCAGAGGTTGTTGGGTGGTTTGGCATTTTAACCAATCCTGCTAAAACAGAATATGCAGCCTGGCCAGCAGTCGGGATGGTTTTGCTAGCCAGCCAAGAGAGATTCTCATCCAGGTAGATTCTTGGTCATATTGTTGGTTTTATATTTCATACATCTCCACTTCAAATCATTCTAGTGATATTTTTATCTAAGAATAAAGTAATTCTACCAAGAATGCTGGTTTTTTTACTTCTGGTCAAGATGGTGGCATAGGCAGACATGGCTTGCCTCTTGCACAACCACATCAAACTTAAAACTAAAATACAGAGTAACCATCACTCAGAACCATCAGAAATAAAGTTGAATGGAAGTCTGACAGCTACAGAATTAAAGAAACCACATCCATTGAGACTGGTAGGAGGGGCGCAGATGGGGAACAGGCTGGTCCCTCACCCGTGTGTGGTGGATAAAAATTTGGGAGAGTTATCGCAGGAGTGAGGAGTCCCAGCACCACACCAGGCCCACAGCCTAAGGTTCCAGTGCCAGGAAGATAAGTCCCCAAAACTTCTGGCTGCAAACACCAGCGTGGATTGTCAGTGGAAGAAACCTCTGGAGTCCCAAGCAGTTCTTAAAGAACCCTCACACGTACTCATCTACTCAGACTTACATGCTCTGAGCTGCTGCACCAGGGTAGCAGCTGGAAAGGCACCAGTGCCATACAAGGAGAAGCTGAAGTGTCTGGTATCAAGGCAAGCAGAGGCTATTGTGCCTTTTCTAAACCCTCTCCCAACAGATTGGCAAGCTGGTGCCATATCTGAGACTCCATCAACCTGGCTAACACTGTTTGACCTACCTTGGAGTTCCCCAGAGACTGCTCCACACAACCTGCGGGCCTGTCCCTAAACAGGTATTCCGTGGACTGGGAGTTGAGAACACTGCTTTAGAGATGTTTGAAGAGGCAGTTTTACAAATGTATTTAAAGGGGTAGTTATCTACAAGACAATGTAAAGTGCCTACTTGGATGAATTTATACAGAGATTTAGTGAGTAAGGAAGAGAACATGAGACCAGACTCTGTTCTGCTTGGAGATTCCCAATTAAGGTCTCACGCAGACCCCTTACTTCTCATTTACTAAAGCACTGAAAGTGTTTTTCCATATGAGTGACTGGTCTTGGGTCATGTTGCACAACTTCTTAAACCTTTCAGATGAGCAACATCTTGCCTCAGCAAGACCCAGGCACTGCACTGGTTCACAGCTTGGCTTGCCTGGTAATTTATAAGCCCAGCACAAGTAGCAACCATCTCAGAATGCCTTATAGTTCAGGAAGGGTAGCTGTAGGCGAGACAGATTAGGGCTGACCTTGGCCTGCATCATTCAGGAAACCCAAGAGCCAGTGCAACCAGTAGACAGGTACAGATGATGTCAGAGCACCACTACCTCGCGCCTGCACAGCTGATACTCCATGGAGGGTGGAGGTTGGTAGTAAACAGCCAATACTTGAAGCTGACTGGCCTGGGTAAATCCCTCCCATTGATCTGTGGACAGCAACCAAGGCTCACTGGAGGAGGGTATATTTAGTCCATACAAAATACCTAGTTTGGGTGATAGGGGAGACTATGTAACAGCATTATAGAACACCTACTAAATTAGGCCACACTACCAAGCCATGGAGTCAGAGGAGCTCTACGTAATACATAGAAACAGAGAAGCTGCCAAAATGAGACAAAAGAGTGGCCCAAATGAAAACATCAAAACTGCAGAGGAAGATCTAAGTGAAACGGAGATAAGCAATCTATCAGATGCAGAGTTGGAAACATCGGCTATCAGGGTGCTCAAGGAACTTAGTAAGAACGTCAGCAGCATAAAAAAGATCCAGTCAGAAACAAAGGATATACTAATTGAAATAATTTATAGGGAATCAACAGTGGGATGGATGAAGCCAAAGTTCAAAAGATGATTTGGAACATAAGGAAAGAACCAATCGGAACAAGGAAAAAAAATCCAAAAAATGAGAATAGTATCAGCAGCCTCTAGGACAACCTCCAGAGGTCCAACATATGCATCACAGGGGTGCCCAAAAGAGAAGAAAAAGCAAGAAATTGGAAATCTGTTAGAAAAAATAAAGAAAATTTCTGTAATTTGGTGAAGGGTCCTAAACAAGATGGACATAAAGAGGCCCACGCCAAGAAACATCGTAATTAAAAGCTCAAATGTTAAAGATCAAGAGGATCTTAAAAGCAGCAAGAGAAAAATTAGTTTCCTACAGGGGAGTTCCCATAAGACTCTCTGCTGATTCTCAAACTTTGTAGGCTGCAAGGGATTGGCAAGAAACACTCAAAGTCTTGAAAAGCAGGGACCTACAGCCAAGATGGCTCTATCCAACAAAGCTATCATTTAGAATTGAAGGGCAGATAAAAAGCTCCCTAGACAAGAAAAACTAAAGGAGTTCATTATCAAAATACCATTATTACATGAAGTGTTTAAGGAATTTATTTTTAAAAAAAGATTAGCTTTGGCTGGTGTAGCTCAGACTGAACACAGCCCTGTGAAGCAAAGGGTTGCCAGGTCAATTCCTACTAGTCAGGGTGGATGCCTGGGTTGCTGGCCAGGTCCCCAGTTGGGGGCACCTGTGAGAGGGAACCACACACTGATGCTTCTCTCCCTCTCCCTAAAAACAAAATCTTTTTTAAAAAAAGATCAAAGCTAGCCCTGGTTGGTGTAGCTCAGTGGATTGAGCACAGGCCTGCGAACAAGAGGATTCAGGTTCAATTCCCAGTCAGGGCACATACCTGGGTTGCAGGCCAGCTCCCAGCAGGGAATTCATGAGAGGCAACCATACACTGATGTTCTCTCCCTCTCTCCTTTCCTTCCCCTCTAAAGGTAAATAAATAAAATCTTTTTTTAAAAAAGGTCAAAGCTATAAATAATAAAATGGTAAAAAAGTAAAAACCTATTAACAATTGAGTCTAAAAAGCAAACTAACCAAACGAGACCAGAGACAGAATCATGGATACAGAGAATCATGTTGTTGGTGGCCAGATGGGAGGGAGGTATCGGGAATTAGTGAAGAGGTGAGGGGATTAAGAGGTACAGTAGATAGTTGCAGAATAGCCGTGGGGATGTAAGGATCAGTATAGGAAGTGGATTGCGAAGAACTTACATTCCCCGTGGACATGAACACTGGTGGGGGGTTGCCTCGGAGTGAGGAGTGCTGGGTGGAGGCCAGCAAAGGGGAAAATCAGGACAGCTGATAGCATCATCGACAAAATGTAGTCTAGAAAACTTTTCTACTCTTAATTTTTTATTGAATTTAGTTGGGCAATGTTGGTTAATAAAATTACATAGGTTTTTAGGTGCACAAGTCTGTAATCATCCATATATTGTGTGTGCACCACCACTGTTCACTCCCTCGCTACCTTTAATCTCTTTACCCCCTCCCCCACCCCTTTTTCCTTTAGTAATCACCACACTGTTGTCTGTCTGGGAGGTTTTTTAAAAATTTGCTTAATGTCTTTACTTTCATTCTTACCAGTTTTTACATTACTGTTCAATATTTCTGGCTCAATTTGATGAAGACTGAACAAATTAGTTACTGTGGTTGTTTAATTGTATGTTTTATGTCTACAGCTGGAGGCCTAAGGAACATAACACATACTGTTTTGAGTCCATCTCTTCTTCTCAGGCATAATCTCAGTTTAAAGTAGAGATTATTTTAAGGGATAAAAGAGATGTTTATACTTGTTTCTGTTTTTTTTAAAAATCTACGTGTAGGCAATTGTGGTATAATTTTTGACATTTTTTTATGTGCTGTTTCTGGCTAGTTCTCAGGTCCCTGTGCTGAGAGAGACTTGTTCAGTAGCTTTGCCTACATCCCTGACGGTCTGACTCGATCCTCTTCCACATAGTCCTGCATAGTCCTGAACCACGCTGTCCTGATGGCCCTACTTGGTGCTTGCCTGGCTGGTGGCTTCGTGTTTTTAGAAAGGTCTTTCTCCATCAAGATCCTTGAGTCCAAGAGTATAGATTATGTGTTGCTCTCTTGCCACAATTCTGGGTAAATAAATTTGCTCAACAGAGGTGTTCACTGACCAGAAATCTTGGCCAACGCTTATCTGTTTTTCTTCTAGCCAAGGGGAGCGTCGTCCTGAAGTATGAGCCAGACCCTACGTAAGTGAGGGTGCTCTAGCCATTGGGCCACATAGTTCTTGTCGGGGTGGGAAGGGAGGTGGGGCGCAGGGGTGGTGGTGGCCTTAGAAGCCTTTTATTTTATTATTGCTCTCTAAAAACAGTGTTGGGGAAATTTAGAACTGAAATACCAGTCTTGTGTATCACCATGAACATATTTTTTTAGTAGAATATTCAACTCAGGCCAAATGTATTTTTATTAAAAGAATAAAATGCATAGTATGTGTTTTCTGTGCTTTAGAATCTAATCCTAATGTCTATCTTAAACAGAATAAATGTAAAGATGGAACAGTTAAGAGAGGTTGAGCTCTGTCTCTTTTTGTTGGTTCACTGTGAATTACCAGTTAAGTAACAGGCAGTCTTCTAGGGTGGGGTGTGGGGGTCCCTGTGGCTCATACTGACAGCCACCGATTGACCAGCCCTGCTTTCACATAACCACCAGTTCCGGACAGGAATACTGCAAGGAGTAGGTCCAAGATTGTCAGTACTTTGCAGAAATGGGACAGATAACTCAGGTGGGTGCCCACAACGCCTTAGCTAGTGCGTTAAGGACCAGGGGTCTGGTCCTTGTGAAATTAAACGCTTTCTGGGAGGAGGAGGTAAAATGCAGTAGCACAGACTACAAAAGAATTTGGGGAAGGGTTTAGGTGGAGCCATGGCAGGTTGTCTGGGCAGATGGCATTAAACCTAAGTCTGAAAGGTGAGAAGGAAGCTGAGAAGCACAGACCTGAGGCGGGAAGAGCTGGAAGGCAGTCTGTGGAGCTTGGAGGAGGGCAGGCCACGCACCCTGCGTGGTCTGACGGGCCCACGCAGCTTCAGATTTCACACGGTCTCTGAAGAGCAGTCTGTGTTTGTGTGGGTGGGAGGCAAGGGGTTTGGGGCAAGAGGAGGACGGCAGGGAAAGGGGCGGAGTGGTGTTCGGGGGTCGTCTCAGGAGGAGATCCGACCAGATGGATTGTGGGCAGGTGAGGGACAGGAGCGCTCAGTGTTGGCTTTTGGGTGTTTGTGTTGAGTAGTGGCCATCTAAAGAGGGAAGTGAGGGAAGCACGAATTTAGGAATTTGAGTTGCTGGAATGGACATCAGATAGACTTGAGTAGGCTGCCTGATTGCAATTTCAGGAGTTGAAGGGAGAGGATGTTCTGATACAGGCCTTTGGGATTCATGAGTGGGTGGGTCCTGTTTAAAGTCCTGGGGCTTGGTGGGATAACTGAGGAAGATGTTACAGGTGGAGAAGAGAAGGGTCTGTAGGACCTTGCCCTGGAATGGGTCAGCCCTAGAGGAGCAGTAAGTGGGAGCTGTGGGGGAGGTGGGAGGTGAAGCAGGAGAGAGAATATTGCAGAAGCCAGGGGAAAGGGGGCCGGGGGAACTCAGCTAGGAGGGAAGAGGGAGTTCCTGGTGAAGGTTCTTGGCTTTGGCTGGGTGATGGCGGTGGGAGTGGGTGTGGTGGCTGGGACAGCACAGTGGAGAGCTCATTTCGAGATGCTTGCTGTGAAGCATAGTGCGTGGGGCTTCCCAGGGGGAGTGGACGGGTCCAGAGAAGCTTTAACGTGGAAGGTGTTGGGGTGAGCTTCCTGCTGACTGGAAAACAGGAAGGACTGCCAGTGTCTCAGGAACGTGAGGTTTGCAAAACCATTGGGGCAGTGGCCTAGTAATGGTAATTTGAAAATCGTGGTACTATGCGGCTCACATAGAAAACCTTAGGGTATTTTGTGCTAGTTTCTAGTAGTTAAAGTGGATGATGGGAAACTTATGTTTTTCTCTCATTTTTTGTCAATTTACTGTCCATGCTTTGCCCTAGGGAAAATGAAAAGGCGCTGATGTGTTTCCTTCTTTTTAATGTTTATTTCTCTTAGTTCAGGCCCTTCTGTTTTTCTGGTTGTTTTTTTTTTTAAGACATAATCGAGCCCCCCCCCACCCCAATTTCTATGCTTGTTTCTTCCTCAGCCTGCGTCATTGATTTCTGGCATCAAGTAGGTTTGAGACATACACTTAATTATGTGGAGTCTTTAGGAGCCTAAAAAGTATAGCAGAGTCACATCTGAAGGCAATTAATGATACATATAGTAAGTAATGTCCATAGTACTTCGTAAGTGGTGCACGAGTAATACAAACAGTAACTGCCCTCTCAGTCCAGGAAAGGAGAGTTGATGCTGCCTGGCGAGTAGGGGGTGCACCTGTGAAGGATGGAGCAGGCTGGGGAGACAGGAGTGCTTTGGGCCTCGGCCCTGCTGCCTGCTGGGAACGGGCCTGTTCCCCGGGGAGTTGTACTATCATGTGGGTGTGTAACCAAGAAGAGTTAGGTCACTGAGAACAAATTATGTGAAGCACTGAGTCTCAAAATCCATGGACTGTCCTGGGTCGCAGTCTTGGGTCCCCATTCTGCTGGCACTGTTACTTTGGGTGAAGTTACCCAGCCTCAGGGAGCCTCAGTTTGTTCATCTGTGAAAATGGAGGGTGACGTGTAAGGGGCCATGAAGAAAGGGGATGGAAATGTCTGGTGGTGGATAGGATGAGGCTTCACAGATAGGTCTTCAAATTTGAGAATAAGTATGTATAAAAATTGTAACACTGAAAATGTGAAATCTGCAGATTTGTGGGGCATTGATTGCACTGTGAGCATTTAGAAGGAAAAAGTGGCCAAGCTGAGGGTGTTGATAATATTCAGGGCATGAAGGAGGAAGCTGATCCTCCTTTGAGAAAACCCTTCATCGGATCACAGACTTGATCACACTGTGCCTTCCCAGTGGTTCAGTGGTACAATTTTTGGAGAGTTTGCATATTAATACCTCTTTAGAGGCAATTGTGAGGACTTGTAATATTCACACAAAGCCATTTTGTTTGTAGGAAACCAGACACCCTGCAGTGCCCCATTGTGTTATGCGGGTGGCGGGGAAAGGCCTCAATTCGAACTTTTGTGCCCAAGAACGAAAGGCTGCATTATCTCAGGATGATGGGGCTGGAGGTGCTGGCAGAAAAGCGGAAAGAGAGGACTGCCGTGACAAATGAGAGTGATGAGGGCGCAGCCAGCTCTGGGCCGCCGGAAGACGAGGTGAATGCTGACCAGGGAGCAGAACGGGCTGCCAGTCCAGATGCTGCCAGCACAGGCAGTGACTCGGCCGGGGCCCCTCTGCCCGGCAAGGAGACCCAGGCAGACTCCGGGGTAGACACCTTGGTATCTACAGCCGAATCCAGAACTGACCTGTAAGGTACATGTTTTTAAAGACTGGCCACTGACGGATGATAGGAGCATCTACGAATGATTTCTGTGCTGCTTTCATATGAGCTTATGAAAAGTATTTTTTCAGCTTGTTAGAAGTCTCTCATTTTACTTTGCTCTCTGGCAAAGCTGGGTCCAGTGTGACTGTTGCAGGTAGTAGACTTTCACAGTTAAAGTCTTCACTTCGATCAGGAAATACAACTGCCCTTGCAGGAGTTTCCACGCCCCTTTTGTTGTGCCTGTATTGTTCTTAAAGTCCACCGTTTCTCTTAATTATTTATAGAAAGAGTCTTTATCTCCTGATGAGATATTGGAAAACTGTACCCTGAGCTTTAATAATTGTATTAAGTTGCACAATAGCAGTGCGGCATTAATATGCAGAAGAGTAAGTATCTGAGGTCTCAGATGATTTCTGTGCCTTTGTAATAAAGGGTAAAATAAATTTTTTCAGAGTAAAAGCTATACCATGAATTGTGATACTCATTATGAGGGTATTATGTGCTTTTAGTGAACGGAATGCTTTGCAATTTTAATTTTAAATGGTGTTTGGGATTCCTGAAACATTCAAATAAAGAATTATTCATGATAAACGTATATGTATTTGACTTACTCTATCCTTCATGAAGCAGAACGAACAGACTTATTTTTGGGTTGAGTCGAAATGTTAGAATTACAGCATTCGTATCTGTGCCAGTAGAAGGGATTTTATGGGAAGACTGCCCTTGAGTGGAGTGAGTGGTTTTGTGTGCAGGTTCCTGAAGGTCCTCCTGTGTGTTTGCCTGTGTCCTCCAGGCAGAGGTGTCCACCTTCTGGTGTTTGGACCACACTGGAAGAACCGTGGTCTTGGGCCACACAGTAAACATTGTGACACGTAATCACACAAAAACCTCTTACTGTTTTAAGTAAATTGATGATTTCGTGTTGGGCTGCATTCCCAGCCGTCCTGGGCTGCATGTGGCCTGTGGGCCACAGGTCGGACACCCCTGCCAGAGGTGGGATCGGTGCAGCAGCTAAGCTCTAGTGAGACAGGTCTGGGTAGGTCAGGGGCCACTTGGCAGATCTAATGGGCTCCCTTGAGTACTGCGAGAGGACCTGCAGGTGATGTTAATCAGGCACGAGCTGCATGACCATTGCAGTGCATCACCCATTCAGTCCCTGCTGTGTGCCAGGCAGGGCCTCGGCAGCTGATCGATACAGACCATTGTAAAGTTTCAAAAAAGAAGACTCGAGTATGGTGGACCTTCACGTCCCTTTCATTTTGCTTTCACATTCATTAACAGTCTTGTTTTTTTAAATTCTGCTCCTTATTTCCCCACCCCACCTACCTATTTGTACCGTTTTATAGCGTATTGTATCTAATAAACATTTCAAAAGATAATGACAACTTAAAAAATAACAATAGCTTTACACCAAATAACAGTTCCTTAACATTAAACAGCTTACATGAAATATGTGTACTCCAGGTGGCAAATGCAAGGCGCACGGGCCGAATCCAGCCCTCCCCCTTGTTTAATCCGGCCTGGCATCTTGTTTCTGCCTGGCAGTAGCGCCAAGCTCCTTGCCCCTGGTGAAGGAGTAGGTACATTTATACAGCCCTAAAACTGCATTCGGCCCTTTGAAGCCAACCGCCAGAGGCTGATGTGGCACCTGGTGAAAATGAGCGACAACCCTGATCTATCCACTGGAAATTATGAGACATGGAGGAAAATGTTGAAGACAGTTAGATGGAAGGTATTCTGTGCTCACAGGTTGGAAGAATTAATACTGTAATGTCCGTGCTGCCCAGTGTGATCCACAGAGTTAGTGCAATACCGATAAAAATCCCAGGGACAGTTTGCAAAGAAATAGAAAAAAGAACCTTAAAATTTGTATGAAACCACAGACACCTAATAGCCAAAGTAATCTTGAAAAAACAATAAAGCTAGAGGCATATTTCCTGGTTCAAACTGTGTTTTCTTAGAAAGCGGTGGGGAACAAAGCAGTGTGCTACTGGCATAAACCCAGACACAGATCGGTAGTAGAGAACGGGTGTGCTCAATTTTCAACAAACGAGCCAGGAATATACAAAGCTGGACAGTCACATGCAAACGAATAGAACAATCTCTGACTTAACAGTATGCAAAAAAACTCAAACTGGATTCAAGACTTAGGTGTAAGACCTGATACCAAACTAGAAGGAAACCGGGTGAGCTCCTTGGTTCACACACACAAGCAAAAGAAGTGGGACTCTATGAAGTTAAAAAGCTGCTCAGCAAAGGGAAGAATGTGGACATCTGCAATAGTGTCAACAATAAAAATTAAAAGCTGCTTAGCAAAGGAAGCCAACAAAATGAAAGGGCAGCTTAAGAGATGGGAGAAAATGTTTGCAAACCACATACCGCATTTTTTGGACTATAAGGCACACCTTTCCCCCCCAAATTTGGGAAGAATAATGGTTGTTAATACTGCTGTTGAGTTCTGTTTACATTGGTGAAATATTATTTATGTTATTAAATATTGTACCACATTTTTTGCTTGAAAAAAATTTTTTCTATTTTCCTCTAAAACCTAGGTGCATCTTATGGTTAAAAAAATACAGTATCTGATAAGGGACATACCCAGTATAATGCAGGGAAACTCATACAATACAGGGAAAAGCAAAACATGGCAGTTAAAAATGAGCAGAGGATGTGAATAGGCATTTTTCCAGAGAAGACAGCCAACAAATACAATGTACAAAGATGCTCAACATCACTGATGAGGGAAATGCAAACCGAAACCACGTTGAGATACCACCTTACACCTGACGGAATGGCTAACACCAGTAAACAAAGGTTGGTGAGTGGGAGAAGAACCCTCGTGCACTGTTGGTGGGGGTGCAAATCAGTGCAGCATGGAAGGACCTCGAGGGTGTTAGTGCTGAGTGATGTAAGCCAGAGAGAGGACTGCATGGTAGCACATGTGGAATCTAAAAAAACGTTCTTATTTCAAGTTCCCTCTCCAGGGCGTCTTTAAAATGGGATCTCTGGCCCTACTTCCTGGAGATTATTCTGTATGGCTGGGCGGGGGTGTACACCCCACGTGGTTCTGATGTGTGTCCAGGTTTGGGGCCTTTGGTAACTAGCTTGTCTGTAATGACAAATTATGACCCTTGGTGCTTAGTTTTTTAGTAAGGATGGCTAATATTTGGTTGAGGTGCCTTACAAACATTATTTTGTGTCATTAAAATCTAGCTGTAGCCATGGTCAGATTGTCAAGACCACATGCCTCAGGACAGAGCCAAGATTCAAATCCAGGAATGTCCACACTGCATCCTAATTACCGTGCGCTCATTTGGACAACAAAACACCCTTGTGTATTCAGACAGATCCCATCCCAATTTGACATATAAGCAAACCAGGCCTAGATAATAACAGACATCTAACAGGACAATACCTGGCATTGCAAAGGATATTTAATTAAGTGATTTACTTATATTGATTCCTATCAGTCAGTGTCTGATCAGGAGAAAACACACAACAATTTGAACAGGGAAATTTAATAGAATTACTAGTTTGAGTGGGGTTGAGTGAACAAGGGCTTGGCCAGTAAAAAAGTAGAGAATGCTGAAGAATGTAGGCATGACAGATAGAAAACCAGCCATGACCCCTGCGTTGTAATAGAGCACCTTGGGAAGAACTTGCCGCCCCCATCCTGGAATGTGTTGGGGTGGGCGTGACCACCACTCAGTGAAGGACAGAGATGTTATGGTGGTGCTGCATGGGCTGAACTTTCCAGAAACCCACCCTCCAGGGTGCTGGGGGGATGTTTTTTGGAGAGGTATCTCAGCAGAGGCACTGCTGTAAGAGAATTAAGGGAGCACGGCAGGTGGCCACTGGCTATAGCGCTTGCTGCAGGGGCCCAGCACAGGGAAGCCACCATACAGTGAAGTAGCCTGGGGAATGGGCACCAAGAACCAAGAAGAAAAACCATGTCTTCCTGTGATGACTCTCTAGTGCCCTCCACCCACACAAGCACAGCATGGTGCCAGCTGGCAAAAGATTGTTCAAGGACCCAGATCCATTTAGGCAGAGAGGGTAATGACGGGTGAACTCGGACCCACGAGACAGTAAATTGGTAACTGACAGGTGACTCATTTGATCCAGAAACCTAATGGAGGGGGTGCATTACCACCCACTTAAAGATAAGAAAAGCGAAGCAAACAGGAAGTAACTGGACATCACAGAGGAAGTGACGAAGCCTGGATTCCCCTGCTAAGAAGTCTTGGCCCACAGGAGCAGAGCCTGGAGTGCACGGGCACCTGGGGGGCTCAGCCCCGGGACACCGTCCCTCCAAACGGCACTTGCAGTGCAGCAGCGGCTTTTCAGAGACTCATTTCCATGATTTTAGCCACTTTTCCAAATTTCAGGAAATGAGTGAGACTCCAGAGGAACAAATATGATATTTGAGTGTATGTTTTCTTGCTTCTTTTAAAATTAAGGCATTTAAATCCTCTAAGCTCCCCGCCCCCCAAATGTGCACTTAGGAACTTTTCTTAAAATGAGGGTAATTAGGAGAGCCTGTGTGGATTGAGATATGGATTGAATCCATACACCTAACTTCACAGTGTCCCAGCCCCTAGTAAAGCTACACTAACAGTGTTTTAACAGAAAAAAGAAGGCAGGGGAGTATAGAAGCAACATGGTGTGAGAGTTGGAAGGCCAAGACACAGGTGGTAATGATAGAACCAGGAGAGCAAAACCCTAAGCCGGTGGTGGGAACAGCCGACAAGCAGCCCATTGTGCTCCACAGAATTCTTACCTGGCGCAGCCCCTGCTGAACCAGGATTGTTGCAGTGGTTTGAGAAGCAGCTAAACCCCAGGTTTCCCTCAGCCAAGCTGCCAGACCAGGGGTGCCGAGCACCGTGGGACGTTTGGATGCCGCCCAGGTGGTTGACTTGTTTAAGGTGGGTTGGACTGTCCACACCCTGCCCTTTCCTTGGCTCCCGGAATGCTCAGGGCAGCCGGACCTTGGTCTCCAGAAGGAGTTCATTAGAAGACACTTTGCTGGGGAAACTGTCCAGGTCCAGAAAAAAAGATCTAAATAAAGCTTACGGCCACAGGACTCCCAAGAAATGGCCCACTCACACCCCCTCAGAGATGATGGTCCTGCCAACATGCCTTGTATCCCTGGCTTAAGAGAAGAAAAGCTAGGATTGCCAGGCATCTGAAAACGGCCTCTGGCGTTGAAGACAGGGGTTGGCGCAAACAGGAAAAAGCAGCTAGGAGGAAGCACAGGCTACACAGGCAAGAAGCTTGAAAATCTCTTTTATTAAACATAAGCTAGATGACAAGGGTGTGTAGCCAAGCCTGATGAGACAGTTTGTAAAAATCAAAAAGAAAAAAAAGTTCCAAACATGAACAATTACACTGAAAGTTCTTTTCTCCAGTTTTAATCAACATTTTGACAAGGGACCTCTGCTCCAAAATGAAGCCATTGAGCAAGAAAAGACAGCTTTGGTTGAAGAAGGGTTTCCCACCCAATCGCAGGCCATCTCTGAAGCTGACCCACTGATTGGTTACCTCGCGGTGGCTAAGCCATTAGGGAGACAT